ATATAATATTTATGAGGTATAGTGTGATAATTTGATACATATGTACAGTGTGGAATGACCAGATCCTCAAACATTTTGTTATTAATACATGAAAGTTCCACTCCTGGCAGTTTAGTTTCTTATTACTCCTCCCTGTAGCAGATGGATTCCTATATTTATTAATACTTGTTAATTTAATCCAAATTGCCTTAGTTCTCTTTGATATATCTAATTTCAGAATACAATTTAAATATTACCTAGTTTTCTTTAAATATTGTAATACGTGTTTCTCACTTTTGGGAACTACTATAACTTCATTATATATTGTCTGATATTTAGTTTATAAATAAAAGTTAATTTCTCATCGCTCTGCTGAGTTGTTCAGACCTCTGTGAGTGTAGAGCATACCAGGTCTTAACTCTTAGTGAGAATTTGACAATTAGGAAATATTAGGATTTAGACCTTATTGACTTTAAAAATCTGGGTTTCTGTCACATTGCCCCAGAAGCAGTTATGATTGTTTTTCCCCAGTGTAGAAGAATTAGTAATTTCAAGTCCTTAAATAAAAGGCTAAACGTAGTTTCAGTCTATTCTCTTATTTTCCACAGTAAGAATTTTGGCTGTAGCTATTTAGAAAGAAATACATAGGTATAGATATAGGTATAGATAGTTGTAAATCAATAAGGTGTTTTCTTCATTGGCATTTAAAAATAATTTTTAGGAGTTTGAAAATGCTGTGGTGATGTGTGAAATTGCCATTTTGGCTCCTTTGCATGCCTGAAAGGTCTGAGGTCAGGGCCCCTCTCTATATTTATCTCACAGTTACAGGTTCCTAGTAAATGTTGAGCAAATAAATATGTAGCAGCGGTTAGATATCACTCTAATAATATGAAAAGAATTCTCCCTCTTCTTTATTTTAAAATATTTTTCTTTCATAGCTTCACAGGAGGAAGTTCTGTCAAATGAGCTAAACCCTTTTAACCTAAAGCATGTTTTTTCCTATTTATCCAACCCTAGACACAGGAGCAAGCAAAGAGAGATGCATTGTGTGAGTGGATGTGTGAATGTGAGCAGTCATTTCCTTTCTGTCTGTCCATTTGGATGTCCAGTATGCAGCATGTGACCTTGTACTTGTATGCATTGCATGGTGTGAAGGAGGCCATCACACCATCGAAAGACAGTGTCTGTATCTTTCCAAATATGTGTCTATTTTTTGAATTCATTATATCACCACCTGACCCATAAACACATACCCATCTCTTTCCTCTGTTAACATAGATAAGTGAATATTAGTTTATCATATTTAGGTCTGCTGTAGGTCAGCAGTCATTGATGATTTTTTGTCCATTGTTTTTGGGTTCTCTCTATAGGTCAAGGATGTCAAAGGAACAATCCTGAGTTCTTCCTAGCTGGCCAGCAGCAGTGCACCAATGACATGGCCAAAAGCAGTTCTGTTGGCCAGGACAGCTGTCAGGACTCTGAGGGTGATATGATCTGTCCTGCAGAGAACACTTGTGCTCTGCCTCAAGGTGATGGAGAGGCAAGATTGGGCTCGTCAGGGTCTGCTTTGCCTTCCAGGAAGCGGTCTTGGTCCTTTGAGGAAGAACGTAATAAGGCTACAGGGACCAGCGAGTGGGATGGAGTTACTAAGAAAACCCCATGGCATCATTTGTCCTCATCATGCACAAGGCCTAGGGAGGCCAGGCAAGAAGCAGAAGGCTGTTTGTCATGGCACTCTGCAGCGTCTGGAGAAATAGACCAAGACATTGAAGACATTGGGCTGGACCCCGTTCCTGACTCATACTATGGGCTTCTTGGGACCTTGCCCTGCCAAGAAGTACCGAGCCACATTTGTAGCCTGCCTAGTGAAGTCCTAAGGCACATCTTTGCCTTCCTCCCTGTGGAAGACCTCTATGGGAATCTGAGCTTGGTGTGTCACCTCTGGAGGGAGATAATCAGTGACCCACTGGTGAGTAAAGTGCTCAGTTAACTGACCTTCCCTCTAAAATCTTTGCATATTTCTGATTATAGTGCCTCTTCAAAAGTAGCAGTTTCCATTTGCCTTCAGAATAGTGTCTAAACCCCTTAGGGCCCTTTAAGGCCTTCCATACTTTCCCAGCCTATCATCTCAGCCACTTTGCACATCATCCCAGCACATCTCTGTATTCACTCTGAAACACATAATTTGGTGTGTCCTGATTATAGACTACATGTTCTGGCCCACCATGGTGGGTAGGGGAGCCTCTGATCCCTCCATTCCACTTAGAAGTTCTGTCATATTTTTTGACATCTTACCTCTTTTAACACTTAATTCATACTTCTTTCCATTTCATCCTTGTTGAAGCTAGTCACTTTCTCCTCTTTGTGCTGTTATAGCAGTTTATATCTCTGTTGACATAATTTATTACATACTCTACAGTATTGTGATTTTAGACAGCTTTGTTTAAAATCATCCGGTCATTGACAAGAGGTGATGCATTTAATGTCACTGCTGTGGCTCTCCATTCTTTTCTATGTTGTTTTAATTATACATTTTCCCATCCCAGGGTCAAGTTCTTATGTAAACCTGAGGCCTGGGAGAATGTTTTACTTAGCTTATATATCCCTTAGACTAGCAATAGGAAATAAGTCAGATTCAGAAAATAAATCTCCCTTTTAGATGTAAATCCTATTTGTGTCGTAGTGTTTCTGCCCAGTAAATTGAAAGCTGTCTGGTGTGAACTAAATAGTCAGTCAAAGGTGGGCTAAGTGAAGGTTTTCTTCATTCTGCTTTAGAAGATTCTTGGGATAATGTTCTTATACTTACCTCTTGAAATGTTAGAATAAAACTACTGTGTTTTTATTGTTACTAATAGTGACATGATATGGGCCAGGGATTTAGCTCAGTGGTTCTGCCACCTGCCTCGCAAGCGCAAGGTCCCGAGTTTGATCCCCGGTACCAAAAAAAAAAATAATGACATGTTACATTTTCAGGAATCTGTCACAGTTCTCAGATTCTTTTCTTATAGTGTCTGTGTCTGGCTTTCATACCATGGTGTCATGGTAATGCTTGTCTCGTAGGAGTGTTTCTTCCTCTTCAGTTTTTTAAAAGCAGTATGAGGAATATTGGTTTGTTTTGGTATTTTGGTTTGTTTTTAAGTACTAGGGATTGAACCAGCCGGAGGATTTAGCTCAGTGGTGCCCCGCCTTCGTTGCAAGTGCAAGGTCCTGAATTCAATCCCTGGTACAAAAAACAAAAAACTAGAGATTGAACCTAGGGCCTTTGCACTGAGCTACATCCCCTTTGCACTGAGCTATTTTGAGACAAGGCCTCACTAAGTTGCCCAGGCTGGGCTTGAACTCGTGATCTTTCTTCTTTAGCCTCTAAATGTGCTGGGATTACAGATGTGTACCACCTTATCCACTTGCTGTTGATTGGTCCTTAAATGTTCAGAAGAATTCTCCAGTAGGGGCATCTGGTTCTGGGATTTTGTATGGAGATTATTGATTATAGGCTCAATCTCTTTGCTCATTGTTAGTTTGTTCAGATTTTCTATTTCTTTATGATTAAGTCTTAAGTAGTTTGTGTGTTTTAGGAATTTATCCATTTCTTCTAAGATACTCTATTTGTTGTTAGGTGGTTGATCGTAGTAGTCTCTTAAAATCATTTTATTTCCGTATCATCAGTTGTAATATCCCATCTTTAATATCTGATTTTTAGGTATTTGAATCCTCTTTCTTAGTCTTGCTAAGGGCTTATTGACCCCTCTCCAACAACTTTTTTTAACAACTCTTTATTTTGTTAGTTTTTTCTGTTTTTCTATATTTTTATTCTAATTTTTACTTTTCTTTATTCTGTTAACTTTGGGTTTAGTTCTTCTTTTTGTAGTTCCTTTAATAGTAAAGATAGATTGTTCACGTCACATCTTCTTTACAGCTAAGCTTCCTCTTTAGCACTGCTTTCAGTGTATCCTATAAAATTTAATATGCTGTGTTTTCATTTTTCTCTCTCTTTTCCTCTTTCTTGTCTTCTCTTTCTCTCCCCCGCCTCCACCACACACACACATACACACACATACACACACACACACACACACACACACATGCATACATATACATATAGAGTCTACAAAAAAATGTATATACACTTCAGGAAAAGAAAAACTTGTATAAATATTTTAATACTAAATTTACTGAGACATCATGAGGTTAATACAAGTACCTTTGTCCTCTATAATTACAAGAGGTGATCAGAGTAGTGGCCATTAGCTTCCAGATGTTTATTAGTACAGCAAACTGCTGTTTGAGTAACCTCGGTCATTGAGATTGCTGCACATGCATTTTCAGTTTCTTCTCTAAGGGCTGGCAGTGTGGTGGGTTTTCTGTGACATACAACATCCTCTAGGGTCCCCCATATGATGGTAACACTGTCTGTTGAAAAAACATCATACTATTTTTCTTTTCCTGAAGTGTGTATACATTTTTTTGGTGTGTGTGTGTGTGTACACGTACTTTTTTTTTTATGGTACCAGGGATTGAATGCACTGACCTACATCCCCAGCCCTTTAAAAATTTTTTATTTTATGAGATAGGATCTTACTGTTGCCCAGGTTAAACTCAAACTTGTGATCTATTTGCTTTAGTCTCCCAGAATGCTGGGTTATAGGTGTGTACCACTGTGCTCAGCTTCAAGATACTTTCTAAATTTATGATTTCTTATTTGAGCCATTGCTTGTTTTAAGAGTGGGGGTTTTTTGTTGTTTTTTTGGTTTTTTTGGTACCAGGGATCAAACTCAGGTCCTTGTGCTTGCATAGCAGGCAGCGAAACCACGGAGCTGAATCCCCTGCCCTTAAGAGTGTTTTTAAATTCTATGTATTTTTGTATTTTCCAGTTTTGCTGTTGCTTTGATTTCTAGTTTGATTTTATTGTTATTGAAAAAGATACCTTGTACATATTCAGCCATTTTAAACTTGTTGCCAGGCATTGGGGCCCACACCTGTAATCCTAGAACTTGGGAGGCTGAGGCAGGAGGATTGCCACAAGTGCAAGGCCAGCCTGGGCTACATAGTGAGTTCAAGGCCAGCCTGAACTATGTAGTGAGACCCTGTCTCAAAAAAAAAGAAAAAAAAAACAAGAAATAAATAAACTTAATAAGGCTTATTTTGTGGCCTGACATATGGCCTATCCTGGAAAATGTTCCTTGTGCACTTGAGAAGAATGTTGGATGGAGCATTCTGTATATACCTCTTTCCTTACATTCAGTTAGTTTATAGTGTTCAAGTCCTTTGTCACCTTACTTATCTTCTATTAGATTGTCTCATCTGTTGAAATTGACTGTTACTGTTTCTCCTTTTAATTCTGTCAATGTTTGCTTTATATATTTAGGAGCTCTGATATTTGGTGCATATAATTGTTATATCTTCTTGGTAAATTTTCTCTTTATCATTCTACTTTTTGTCTCATGTTGCAGTTCTTCAAATTTGTTTGTCTAGTGTTAGCATACCCATGTCTCTCATACTATTTTATCTCATTGAAACTCTGCGCTAGTAGTGTCTTGATGTTTTATTTAGGTAAGGAAACTGAAAAGGATTAGCTTTTCTCAGATTCCCTAAAGCCATGGTTACAACCAACTTTGTTTAGTATTTCTACCTGATCTGTTCAGCTTTTTAAGTATGAGTTATACTTGCTTTTCAGGTGGTAGTAGCTTATCTGTTTGTGGCTTTATCTGCTTTCTAATAAGCATTGCCTGTGTATTACTTTGTTTTGTTGTTTTCACATATAGTTCATTCCTTGGAAAAAGCTGTATCATCGATACCTAATGAACGAAGAGCAAACTGTCAGCAAGGTGGATGGCATCCTCTTGAACTATGGCATAGAAAAGGAGTCAGACTTGTGTGTGCTGAACCTCATACGGTGAGTTTCTTTTAAGGGAGACAGTTTTTGAAGTCCTTTCTCGTACATCAGTGCTTATCTTTCTTGTGGATTCTTGCTGACTGTTTTACAGATTCACAGCCACCACTAAATGCTCCCCAAGTGTGGACCCTGAGAGGGTGTTGTGGAGTCTGCGGGATCATCCCCTCCTTCTTGAGGCAGAGGCGTGTGTGCGTCAACACTTGCCTGACCTCTACGTGGCTGCTGGGGTATGTTAAGAGGCTGTGGGGAACTGTGTGTGGGCAGATGGCATCTTTTTTTCATGAGAAGAAAGTGTATTGCTGATTAAGTTCAGTTAAAGATTACTTTTTCAAAATCTTTATTTAATTTCTGAAGGCCAAACATTTGATGCATAAATCTTCTCATTGGTCCCTTAGAGAAATATAATTACAGATTCTTGGATTTGGAAGGAATTTTAATAAACACAGTCTGTTTTCCTATAATATTGAGGATTCTTCTCTGAAATACTCCTGAAAAGTGGCCATCTAACCCCTGAACCCCTTAGATTTCTTTACAAGACAGCCTATTCCATTGTTGACAGCTTTCATTATTTGAAAGAGACAGAGAAATTAAAGGTCTTGCCACACATGCACGGTGAGGAAAGGAGAAGCTGGAAGGAACCCTGTTTCCTGACTTTCAGCCAATTGCTCCTCATTCAGATCAGGGTTCTTGTGTTTTATCTTGGAAGCCACATGTAGCCTCTTGCATATATTCTGCTACCCTGGAAATTCCAGCCTCTGCATATCTCTTTCTGTCTTGAGTGAAGTGATTGCTGGTGGTAGTTGTGGAGAAGTGCACTTTTTTTCATAGAATGGTTGTAGCAAGAGGGGCATGGGACTTTTCTTGGAATGCATTCTTTAACAGAGACATGTACTAATGGAAGGATGAAAAAGATATCTGTCCATTTGTGTCTTTTTGTGTTACTGAACAGTTAAACTTATACATTACTAAATGGAGCATTACTGTCTTCAAAAAATGTTTTAAATAATTTAATATTCATTTAACTTAATATTAAATAATAATTATTAAATAATAGAAATAAAGGTAAATTAGGACCATACTGCCAAGGAATTGTCAGTCTTGTTCCCAACAAAGATTGCAGTCTCCTTTCATATCTCCATCTTTTTACTCGTGCCCTTGCACTTGCAAGGCAGGTGGTGGAACCACTGAGCTAAATCCCTGGCCCCATAGCTCCATCTTTTGTGTCTCCCAGGTAGGCACTTGTTAGCTAGTTGTCTTGTTTTGACTCTACTGACTACCTGTGGACTTCAGAGCTCACACTGTCCTGGAGAGGAGGGTTACTCTGTGGAGCATTTTTGTGGTGTAGGGTTCTATGTTAGATAGTTTACAAATGTTCTTTAATTAAAGAAAACCAAGGGCTGGGGATTTAGCTCAGTGGTGCCACCGCCTGCCTCGCAAATACAAAGTCCTGAGTTCGATCCCTGGTACCAAAAAAAAGAAAACCAAGATCTCCAATCCACAAGTGACAAGAAGAGGGAACACAGGGCAAAAGGAAAGGTTCTGTTACCCACATATTATTTGAAAAGCTGGGCTCAATTCAGGTGACCTGTAGATGGCATCTGAGCCCCAGACTCACCTTTCCTTGCCAGTTTTTTGGTGTGATTCGCCGTGATTGTGTCCTGCATCCTGTCCTCTCCTCCCATCCTGTGTACCTCGCTTCACAGGGCGTTAATGTCTGGGCTTTGGTGGCAGCCATGGTGCTCCTCTCCAGCAGTGTGAATGACATCCAGCAGCTACTCTTCTGCCTCAGGAGACCCAGCTCCACAGTGACCATGCCAGATATCACCGAGACCTTGTACTGCATAGCTGTGCTTCTCTATGCCATGAGGGAGAAGGGGATCAACATCAGTAATAGGTAATATGTCCTGGGAGGAAGGAAGGAGATGCTGCAGTAAAATGAGAAGGTCCTAGACTTGGTACTGGTCCTTGCTATGCCACTCACCAATGTTTACCTCAGGATATCAGGCAAATACAGTGGACCCTCAAGTTATGACCAGCCTGACATATGAATAACTTGGGTTAATTAGGTTAATGGAAGATTCATCTGCCTCTTGTTATCTATAGCGTGTACCCAGGTAAATGTCTAGTTCTCAGCTATATTGACTTACAATGAGTTAGAAGTAGCCCTTGAGAACCCATTGAGTTCATAAGTCAAGGATCCACTGTATTAGGCAAGCCATAAAACTCATTGCTCAGCCTCAGCTTCTTTCTCTGTATAATGAAGAGACTGGGAGAATTTCGTATATAAATAGAGGTAAAAAGCACTGTGAATGTAAAGTGCCAAAAAATTGTAAGGTCTCACTGAGGCTGGGTATGATGACGCATGTCTATAATCCCGGGCCTTTGGAGGCTAAGGAAGAAGGGTCTTGAGTTTGAGGCCACCATGACCCTGTCTCAAAAGAAAAAAATCTCACTAAGGCAGTTTTTAATTCATGGGTATTGAAGCCTTAGGTAATGCCCCCTCACTAAGACAAGCCATCCTATTTATGTCTGGCTATATTTTCTCAGGAAAACATTAGGATCTGTTTTCTTCATTTTTTACTTTGGAGATAGCTATAAATAATGTGTAAACGTCTTATCTACTTTATCATCTAAGGGTATAATAAAAAGCTTTAGTTAGGTTGCTGATTCAGAGTGACCTTGATAATTTCCTCCACCAGAGTGATGAAATAGGCACAGGTGAGTTTTCTGAGGGATATGTGCATTTAGCAAATATCACACTCCTGCTGCATGTCAAATGCTATCCAGACATTGGCAACTTTCCTGTGAAGAAATTAAACAAGATTCTTATTCTAGTGAGGGAAGGCAAAGAACACTTAAGCAAGTGTGTGAAATAAAACATCTTAGTATAAGTGTTGTAGAGAAAATAGAACAGAATGATGTGAGAGGGAGGTGGAGAACACTGCCTTAGATTGTATGAGAAAATGCTTCTGTGAGGAAGTAACATCTGAATGTCAAGGGGGAGCCACCATTTTGGGGTTCGAGGAAAGAGCATTTTAAGAGAAGAAATAGATCACTTAAAGCCCCAAAGAAGGAATGTGTTTGGTATGTACGAAGAAGAGAAAAAGCCCAGTGTGGCAAGACCGCAGTGAATAAGGAAGAGACTAAGTGTAAGAATTTGATGGAGACCATGTGAGAAGACATAAGTCATGATTAGGAGTTAGAATAAAATCCACAGCGTGGGTGGCTACTATGGAGAGGCCCACCCTCTGATCTGGAGTGGTAGAGCCAGGTAGCATGGCAGTGCAGCCAATGCTGGAGAAGCAGTGGAAACCATGAGAGGATGGCTCTTCAGGGAAGGATGGTGGCCCCTGAAATTACCCGCAAATGGAGTGTGGCTGGAAGCACCAAATGAACAGTATTCCGGTCCTTGGTGCGGTGCAAAGGGGGAACATTATTCTCCAGATGTCTGAGTGTTTGCCAGATTTCTGAGTTATGTTTCAGTTAAGTATGGTTTACATTTTATCCCACTCCACAGCATTGAGGTAAGGGACAGAGAGAGCTTTATAATCTGATCAGTAAGACAAATGCACAGATGATGAAAAATGTCCTTACATGGATGTAGATGAGGAACAGAAAGTATATCTTAGTCTGCTTGGGTAGCCATAGCAAAGTACCACAGGCTAAGTGGCTTAAGCAACAGATGTTTTTTCTCATAGTTGGTGGAGGTTGGAAGTCCAAGGACAAGGTGGTGACAGATTCAGTTCCTGGTGAGGAACCAGCTGTCTGGCTTAGAATCACTTTTTCTTTTGGTTCCAACATGAGGAAGAGACAGCTGGGTGGTGTTGTCTCCTATAAAGACACGAATCCTGTTGGGTCGGGGTCCCAGCATTGTAATCTCATTTAGTCTTAATTTTTTCCTTATTCTAGTGACATTAAGGGTTAGAACTTCAATGTATGAATCTCAAGGGGACACAATTCAGTCAGTAATAGGTTTTTGTTGTTGGACTTGTTGCATTTATATATTTCTTCCTGCTTTACCTAGGAAATAATATGACCAGATACTGAAATGTGTGTTACTAAAGGTATCTGTTGCATCAGAGTGATACTTCTAGGGCCAAGGATTTAGCTCAGTGGTGCCGCCGCCTGCCTTGCAAGTGCAAGGTCCTGAGTTTGATTCCTGGCACCCCACCCCCCAACAAAAAGAGTGATACTTCTGTGCACCTCTCACTCTTGGGAGAAAGCAGCACACTTGGTGGTCTAGGGAGCTGAGTTTGGGGTCAGTGTGCACGTGTAGAGGTTTTGGAAGTTTATGGTAGACAAACTTGGTGGTATCCCATGCCTTTGTTGATTGAACTTTGTTATCTGGTTCCCTCTTGTTGACTTGGAGGCTTGTTTACTTTCTTGTCCTTGGTAATTATTATCTTGTTAGCCATTTAGCACCCTTCCTTTGGGATGTTAAGAGAATGTTACTCTTGCTTTTAAACCAATATCATGTCACAAGAAGTTGGCCACAGAGCAGCTGAGTTTCAGAAAGATGATAGTATTAAATTTATCAGGAAGGTTGAATTATTTGAATAGGAATCTCATTTTTAGGAGTAGAGTTTATACTTGTTTTCCACTGGTTCTTCTTTTCTTTTCTTTTTTTTAGGGGAGGAGTGTTGAGGATTGAACCTAGGGCCTCATGCATGCTGGGCAGGTGCTCTACCAACTGAGCTAAATCCCCAGCTCCTGTTACTGCTTTTTTGATATTTTTGTTTCTAAAGGTCTTAGCTAGTGCTCTTGTTCTCTAAAGAGCACATCATGTTCTCTTCCTCCTTTTGATGTCACATGTAGAAATAAGGTATCTTTTCAGAACTGTGTTCCTTGAGAGAGTTTCTGTGATGGATTTTTTTTTTTTTTAGCAAAGTTTTTTTTATTTTTTTATTTTTTATTTTTGGTTCCAGGGATCGAACTCGGGTCCTTGTGCTTGCAAGGTAAGCAGCGGAACCACTGAGCTAAATCCCCGGCCCTGTAGATGGATTTAAATTCTTCTTTTCCATTTTTTCATAAACTGGTGGGAGGTATTTTCTTTATAGAAATGGTAAGAAGTTTAAATACATTTGAGGAGAAATATACAGATTGTGACTTACATTTGAAAGTCTCTAAATCTACTTGTTTTTTCCTATTAGGATTCACTACAACATTTTCTATTGCCTATATCTTCAGGAGAATTCCTGTACTCAGGCCACCAAAGTTAAAGAAGAGCCATCTGTCTGGCCTGGGTGTGTATAGATTCTAAGTGGAGATGTGTGTGTTGTCTTCCATTCTTGAATCATTTTCATATGTAAGGAGGGGTGGTGTTTTGTTTGGCAACTTTATTGAAACCTAATTTACATTATGTAAATTTCACCCATTTTATATATTTCATTGATTTTGGGTAGACTCACTGAGTTTTGCAACCAGCATCATAGTCTAGGTTTCAAGCATTTTTATCCCCCTATGGGGGCAAATTTTGCTTATTCAATTTGCCCATATGATTTTTGGACATTCTAGTCCCTGAGCTTTTAAATTCCTTTCTATTCTTCTGATTTCTCCTCTGTAATGATTATAGCAAGAAAACAACCATCCAACTTACACATGAACAACAGCTGATTCTGAACCATAAGATGGAACCTCTCCAGGTGGTGAAAATCATGGCATTTGCAGGTAAGGGAGCTCACTTCAGGTTCCTGGAATAGAGGGTCAAGTTCATGATGTGGTTGTTTTTATTACCACTACATTCCCTTTCCTGCTACCTGCCAGAGCACCTTTACCTTGATCTTTTATTGAGCTAATTCAATCAAATACTCTCAAAACCAGTTGTCCAAGGAGTACTTGCTTTCTGTTACTACTCCAGGAAGAAACCACATTAGAATTCCTGTTTAGACAGGTTGTTCATAGGAGTTAATTTGTAGGTATTATCGTGGGACTGATTGAGCATATCACTTATCATTGTTTGTGCTCAGTCACTGATGGCTTTTTGGAAAGGCAGGTCATGTTAATCTGTTCAAAGGGTTTCAGTAGTCCCCTAATTTTGTAGGATATTATCTAGTGGAACTTTCTTCCATTTGATTCTAGCTGCTTTCCTAAATATGTTATGACTGTTCTTCCTCAGTCAGCTGAGCTGATCTGCTTAGTCTCCTGAAGTACTGGCTGGTCTTTTGTCTGATCAGTAGCTTGTGTTATTTTCTCCACCTGGACTCCCTTCCTGCTACTCTACTTTTCTGCCTAAAAATCCTACTAACAATTCAGTTTATTAAATACCTGCAATGTGCCTGGCATGGGTGCTTGTGCTAACAATGTTCTGTAAGGGTGGTTAGTTACTTTATAAAGACATTGAAGCTCAGATAGACTTGTTCCAGATTAAATAAGCGAATAAGTGGTAGAGACAAAATTCAAAGCTGTCTGTATGTCCCTCCAAAGACATGCCTTCTTGTCTTTGCTTTCCTTTCCTTCCTATCTTTTTTTCTTCCTCCAGCTCTTCATCCCTCTCTACTCTTTCTCAGATTTTTCTCTTCCTTTCTTTGATATGCTGTGTTGACTCTCTTCATTTCTGTTTCTTTCTGATACTTTTTCAATCATTTGAGTCCTACTGAACTCCTACTGTAACTAATCATCTGTTAATTATTCAGTACCTGATTACTACATAAATAGCCAACATATACATTTTAAAAATACTTCCAAATTATTTCATCAATCTTCAAAATAGCCCTTTCAGATAGGGAAAGATTCACCAATTTTCTTCTTTACAGGTGAGTTTTTTTGGTTTCCAATCCATATTCTTTTTCACTTACTGTGTTATCATACTCTCATTTTGTCTGTTTCACCTTGTGGTGTTTTTTTTTTTTATTCTCAACTAGATTGTAATGTATGTTTTAAGAATTATCTCACCATGTTTAGCATACAGCTGAACATACAGTAGGTGATCATGTACTTGTAAAATGAATGTCAAATTGAATAACTAAAAAGTGAATGGTGGAGAGGTGAAGCAGACAGGACAGTTCAGAGTGACTCAGAATTCTTGAGTCCATTTGCATTCTCTTACTTTAGATGCAGGAATGACTATTGGGTCAGTATTAGCTACTGTTTATTGAGTTCCTGCTGCTGGGGACTTTATGGTTATCTTTGTCCTCACAAACTCTACAGTTAAGTGTACCCACATACAAGGAGTGATTAAAAATTATGGTGTGTGTTTAAATAGAATAGCTGATTATAGTAAAAGACACATTGCCATCAATCGTTCTTAGAATACTCCTCATTTGAACACACCCATCATTCTTGCCACTTTCTGAAGCAGTGCTGGAAGTCCTCTTTCATGAGTGTTCTTACAAAGTATGACCAAAAATACAGTGGATGCCGCTGCCAAGTGTCATCCAACAGAAAGACAAGCTTATAAAAAATATTACAGTATGTCTTTATCCACCTTATTAGGTTTTGTTGTTTTTTTTTTCCGGTACCAGGGATGGAACCCAGGACCTTGTGCTTACGAGGCAGGTGTGGTGCCACTGAGCTAAGTCCCCAGCCCTTATCTTGGTTTTTTTTAGGTAATTTTTTTTTCCCCACCTTATTCACTAGATCTGGCACCATGCAGCTTTTGGCTTTTTCCCAAAAGTCAAAATGACCATGAAAGGTAAATGTTTTCAATCGATTTTCGGGACATCAAGGCAGCCATAAAAATGCAACTAAAGACATTCATGAAAGAGAACTTCCAGGATTGCTTCAGAAAGTGGCAAGAATGATGGGACAAATGTATTCAAAGTGAAATGGAGTATTTTGAGAAGTGTTAATGGCAATAATAGCATTTTTTTTTTTTGCTTTTTTGAGACAGAGTCTCACTATGTAGTTCAGGCTGGCCTTGAACTCACAGCAATCTGCCTGCCTCAGTCCCCCAAGTGCTGGGATTACAGGCCTTCACCCACAACTCCTGGCACCATAATAAAGTATTTTTAAATTTAAACATTTTTACCACATTTTTTTGATCACAAGCACATTGCTCAGGAGCAGACTGAAACTCAATGAGGTCTGTGTTACTCAGCTAGAATCTGCCATAACCAAAATCCTAGTCTACCTTAATCTGACTTAAAATCTGCTGCTCTTTTTTATGGCACCACTTTTACCAATATTGAAATCAGTCTTGATCTCAAGCCAGATGTGGGATAAGCCTAAACAAGACCTGATTGGGGATCCTTTGGAACGCTTTGCCTGGTCAGAGGGTCAATCCTCTCCTCTTGGCTTCTGCAGGCACGGGGAAGACCTCTACCCTGGTCAAGTATGCTGAGAAGTGGTCTGAGAGCAGATTTCTGTATGTAACATTCAACAAGAGCATCGCAAAGCAGGCTGAGGTCGTCTTCCCCAGCAATGTCATCTGCAAAACCTTTCATTCCATGGCCTATGGACACGTTGGGCGGAAGTGAGCATGACTAGGGCTAATGTCATTGTCATTTCTCATACTGTTTTCACATAATAATCATTGTAATCACATATGAACTTACCCCACAACACTCAGAAAATATAAGGCTGTTATCTCCATTTACAGGCAGGAGAAAGATAGTTTTAGTGATTTGTACTTTGACCCTGTGAAAATGTATTATTTGCAGATAACAATATTATCCTGAGAGGGGCATTCTCATATTTGTAGAATTGAAGCACAGAAAATTAAAATAATTTGTTTAAAGTTCAGGATATCACCAAGCCTGATAAGTTTTAAGTTTTCCTTGGGAGAGGGTGGGTGGAGCTTCAGTTGAGATGCTTATGTGCAAGGGTTGTTGGACATAAGGCTTCAAGGAACTTTGAGTGCTCCCTTGGGGACCACTTAAAGCCTGGACCATTCCTTGGAATGATAGTATCTGCCGTGAGTTAACTCCTTTTCTGGATTGTAATACATGAATTACTGAAAGCCTATTATAAGTGGCTTTCAGATCAAACATAGACCTTGTGAAGGCCAGTGAATGATGTCTGGAGTGACTTTGTAATGTCATTGGACAGAAGGAGGGAGGCACTAAATACAACAGTGCCAGTAAAGTCAGCTACTGTTCATTTGGGATATGCATTACAGGTACCAGCTAAAGAAGAAGTTGAATCTCTTCAAGTTAACACCCTTCATGGTCAATTCTGTCCTTGCTGAAGGGAAAGGTGGATTCATAAGGGCCAAGCTAGTGTGTAAGACTTTAGAAAACTTCTTTGCCTCTGCTGATGAAGAGCTGACTATTGATCACGTGCCTATTTGGTGTAAGAACAGCCAGGGGCAGAGAGTCATGGTTGAACAGAGTGAGAAACTGGTGAGTATCAAATATCTTATATTTTGGGGTCTGGTATTACATTTCTATCTTATTTCTTCAGAATTGTTCTTAGGAAATTGAAGATGAACAAATGAAGCTATAGACCCATCATGACACTTACAAATTATAAGATATTTTCTCCTAGAAGAACACAGACATTTTAATCCTCATCATAGTTCTTCCATTTAATAGATAAGAATATTGAGTGACTGCCTACAGTTTAGGAGTTTGTCATTGAGTCTTCTGGACCCAGAATCTCATCTGGTGATTGGGAGTCTCATTCTAATTTTTTTATTTTGCTATTGGAAAAGTCTTTTTTCTTTGTTAATCATTTGCTATTCCTTTAGAATTGTCAGTCATAAATCTAGAAGAATAATTGAGCCCTTTCTGGTTCATCAGCTATTGTGATCTTTGATCATTGCTCCACCATGCCTGGTATGGCCTCAGCTTCTCACTCTTCTTAGCACTCAAGACCTTCCATGATGTTAAAAGGCTGCTGTGGAGACTTAGGTCGGGGGCCTCCCTCTCTGTCTTTTGTGATGATCCCTTTGTTCCTGCTACTATATGTAGAAGTGAAAGTGAGATTCCAGGCTACTGTCTTTTCTAGGGTCTTAAACTTTGGGTTCCCCTACCACTTGCTTTTTAGAATGGTGTCCTTGAAGCAAGCCGTCTCTGGGACAACATGCGGAAGCTGGGGGAATGCAAAGAAGAGGCTTACCAAATGACTCACGATGGTAGGCAAGTTTCCAGACATTGGGGTCTGTTAGATATAACTGCTTTCCTTGTGAGTTGTGACTCTTACTGCTCCCTTCTTCTAGGCTATTTGAAACTCTGGCAGCTGAGCAAGCCTTTACTTGCCTCTTTTGACGCCATCTTTGTGGATGAGGCACAGGACTGTACTCCAGGTGATAAACTATTCAGGACACCCGTAGTCTCAATACGTAGAAACAGCGTCATGATTGTGTAAGAGGACATGTGTGGGATAAGTTGATTATTCTTATTTGTGCTAAAGAAGACAAATAAATGATACTTAGCCATTCAGAAATCCTTTTCATTTCACTTAAGATTTCAGCAGTTGTCTCTTCTCATGGAAAGCAGATTTGTTTTCCTGCATATTTTGTTGAAGTTGTTAAAATGTTGACTGAGTAGCTCATCAGATGGTAGAGACCTAGACTCATGCCAAGTGGGAAAAAGTGTCTGTTTAGAATCTTTGTGTTGTATATTTCTCAAGTGGTTAGTGGAGACTAGATGTATTATGAGTTTGACTTGCTAGGTCATATGGTCATATTTGAGTCTTATAATTATTAGAGAAGGAAGACAATTTATCTCCTTTTATATTTGCTTATATATTTTCTTACGCTCAGTAATTCATCTAGGATTAGAAATAATCTGCATTCCTAGGGTCAGAAACTGTTTGTTTATTATTATTATTTTTTTATTGAATGCCTATCCTGTAGAAAAAGACAGCATTGTTGTCCATCATGTCCTGGCTTACTTTTGTGAAAACATTTTCATCCTTTTGGTTTTTTTTTGGTACTGGGGATCAAACTCAGGACCTTGTGCTTGCAAGGCAGGGCTGGTGCCACTGAGCTAAATCCCCAGCCCACATCCTTTTCTTTCTTAAAAATAATTTTTTTTCCTGCATGGTTAGAGTACTTCAGATTTCTCATTTTTCCCCTTTGGTTGCAGCTATCATGAATATAGTTCTGTCTCAGCCATGTGGGAAGATCTTTGTAGGGGACCCACACCAACAGATCTATACCTTTCGTGGTGCAGTCAACGCTTTGTTCACAGTCCCCCACACTCACGTCTTCTATCTCACACAGGTAAGAGCTCTTTCTGCTTCTGAGTCCACAAAGTGTGTAAGCAAGCATTATATTTCTCTCCTCATTTTTTATGCACCAGCCATTGGTATATGGTATTTTGCTAGGTTCCCAGTATATATCATATCCATACTTTGAAGCAGTAGTTCTTAAAGTGTGGTTCCTAGGAGGTCTGCAAAGTCAAAACTGTTTTTGAAATACCACTTTGCCTCTGTTGCTATCTTTACATTTGCACTGCTAGTGGGTAAAACTGCTGGTGCTGTTTTATGAATCAGGCCTTGGCAGGAAACCAGTCTCGCAGTCATAAAGCTTCAACACATTAGAATTAACACACACACACACACACACACACACACACACACGCACACACATGCACACACCAAAAAGGAATTCACTTAACAATGTTCTTGATGAGGAAGCAAAAATGATTTAACTTATTACCTGTTGACCTTTGAGTCTTTTTAATCCTCTGTATGTTGAAATACTGACAAAGCACTTCTGCTGCTGCAGACTAAAGCCTGATGGCTGTCCAAGAAGGACAGTTACAGTTAAGTTGGGAGCTGAACTGGCTGCTTTATTCTTGTAATGCTGTTTTTATTTGAAAAAACACCTTAAAGACTATCTCTGGTTATTCTGAGCTGGCTATTTGGTATTTTCTCAAAGATGAGTGAAATGAGCAGTGAGTTCAAGGAAAATAGCTAACAGTGTTTATAGCCAATTTTTTTTTTTCAAAGATAAGATTCTTGCTTTTAAGCAAACTTAAAACTTGGGAGAAACTTATGTCTGCCATAGTGAGCATGACAACTTAGTGTCCTTGACTATGCAAAAAGATGATTAACTATCCCTCCCTTTCCAACTACACATTTTCTTTGAGGCTGAATTTTCTTCATAAACTTCAGCAATAATAATGTATCAAAACAGATAGTGCAGATGTAAGTAAGTATGAGAATCTGGTAGTTTTAAGAGATTTGTGAAAAATGTCATAATAGTGTTTGTGCTATTTTTGTTTCAGGAAATACAGTTATGATTCAAAGCAGTATTTTTTATGCTATCATATAATGGAGTACTATTTTCAAATGAATTAAATTTTCTAATATGGTAAATATGGATATATATACACCTCTCATAAATAAAAGCTTTTTGAAAACTTCTCTTTGGAAACATCAATTTATAAAAGTGTGAAAAGCCCTGAGACCAGAGGTTTCCAAACTTCTGCTTTTAATTAAAACTCCCTCTACCTAGAGGATGTGCAGGGTGTTACCTGTATTGAGAAATGAACTGTACTGTGCTTTGATATGTTATTTGGAGGTTTCTGGACTCTCGTGACTCTCCTCCCTTGGGTTTCCATCTACTGTAGTATTTTAGGTGGCATCGGCTCAGCATACTTTTGTTTTCATAATTGACCTTACATTTTGTTTGTTTGGATTTTTTTGTTAGTTTGCTTTTTATTTCTTTTTTTCTGAGGCAGAGTATCACTGTGTTGCCCAGGCTGGTCTCAAATTCCGTATTCTGCTTCAGCCTTCTGAGTAGCTAGGATTACAAGCATTAATTACCATACCCAGAAATCTTTTTGTAGAACAATTACAATTTACAGAAAAATTGAGATGGGAGTACAGAGAGTTCTCATACACCCTGCACTCAGTTTTTCCTAGTACTGAATTAATATCTTACATGAATGTGGAATACTTGCCACAAATTATGAACCAGTTTGGATGTTTTATAAAGTCCAAAGCTTATTTAGAGTTCTTTAATTTCTGAATAATGGCTTTTGCTATTCCAGGATTCCATCTAGGATGTCACATTACACATGTTTTGTTAGGCTTTTCTGGATTATGACAGGTTTTTTTGCTTCCCTTATTTTTGATGACCTTGAACATTTTGAGAAGTACTGTTCAAGTGTTATCTGTATGACCCTATACTGGAATTTATCAGATGTTTTTCTTATTATTAGATGAAGGTTATGGTTTGGGAGGCAGAGCATGGAAGTAAAGTGCTATTTTTATCACATTATATCAAGGGTACGTATTATCAATGTGGTTTATGACTGATGATGTTGACCTTGAACACCTGGCTAAAGTAGTGTTTGTCATGTTTCTTCACTATACTGCATGCTGTAGAAGGAAGTCCCTGTATTAAGCCCATACTTTGAGGAGTAAGTTTTGGAGTATTTCATGAATCATTTGAAACTCTTCTGCAAAGGAGATTTGTCTTTTCTCTCCCATTACATGATAGCATAAAGATATTTGTTTATTCAGTGATTTATGTATCACAGTATACACTCATGAGTATTTATATTATAATGTGGGTTATAGTTTACTCCAAATAGTTTTATAGCAACAAAATACTATTTGTTGAAAGTTCAGTTTTCCTTTGACTATTGCTGTTAACCAAAAGATGTAACACTGTACTACTTTAAATTATGAGTGCATGGAAAAAGGCAATAAATACCAGGCATTTGGGGAAGAATGGTATCTTTCTAGCTGGAATGGTCAAGGAATAAGGTTTTGGGCTGGTATAGGAAATGATTGAGATAATTGAAAAATGGCTTCTGGGGCTGATAGAGGCAGCATGAGCTGAGACGGGAAGTACAGGGAATGTTCAGGTAACAGTCGTTCTGCTTGTGGCTGATTTGAGCAGGACAGTAGTTATAATTACTGGTGAAAGGCATCTCAAAGGCAAGGGGAGAGACCCATACCTTCTATTAACCCTTTGTATAACTTAAACTTTGTAATATTTGATTTTGAAAACGGTAGATTTACTTAAAAGGAAATGTTACTGGGCCGGGGATTTAGCTCAGTGGTTTTGCCACCTGCTGCGCAAGTGCAAGGACCCGAGTTTGATCCCCGGTACCAAAAAAAAGGAAATGTTACTATTGGTGTTGGGAGATAATAGAAAATAAAGACTGTCCAGGTTGTGGAGGACCCTGAGGGTGAATGCATCTCTTGTTTTCTCTTTCTGTTCTTTCCTCCCCCATATGTATTGCTTTTCTCTTTCTGTAGATAAGGAATTTCTTAAAAGATTTTAGGGACAGATTCATCTGTCAGAGGGAGAGAGAATCGATTGACAGTGGGAGAAGCCTGGAGATAGAGGTCAGATAGGTGAGGTATGAAGTTTGAGTGTTTAGGAAGCTGATAGTAGTGGTAAGAAAAGATAGGATAAATAGAATGATGGAAGAATTGTTAGGATTTGGATTGGGGATAAGGAGGAGGGAAAAATAGATCACACCAGGGTTTCAAGATAGAAAATGCAAATTTTTTTTTTTTGGTACCAGGGATTGAACTCAGGACCTTGCACTTATAAGGCAGGCATGGTGCCACTGAGCTAAATCCCTGGGCTGAAAATGTTATTTTTAACACTTAAAAATAAAGTCAATAATTCTTGGATCACCAGGCTCCTGTTTGGGTACAACTTGTACTATAGAGAATTTCCAAATCCCCTTCCCATGTAAGATGACTCATGGATTGGCAGTGATAGAAGAAGCTTAACATACATTAAGACAGTTGCTAACTCCTTTGTTTTGTTATTTTCCAACAGAGTTTTAGATTTGGTGTGGAAATAGCCTATGTGGGAGCTACTATCTTGGATGTCTGCAAGAGAGTAAGGAAAAAGACATTGGTTGGAGGAAACCATCTGAGTAAGGCTTTTAATGTCCTTCTCTTATTTGCTACAAAAATTAATTGTGTCATTTAATTTCATTTGCCACAGAGTTTGTGCTTTCTCCCCAAAGGTGGCATTAGAGGTGATACAAAGGGACAAGTGGCTCTTTTGTCCCGCACCAACGCTAATGTGTTTGATGAGGCTGTACGGGTGACTGAAGGAGAAGTACCATCAAGGATACATTTGATTGGGGTAAGAGTAAATTTCTGTTGACTTCTTCATGCATAGAAACATTGTAGACAAACATACCTGATAAAAATGTTCAACTTCATTAAAATTTGTGCAGGAGAGCTTTTGGGTTTTTGGCTCTTTTCATCAGGCTGCATCGTGACTGAAGTTTTTATTCTTGGCTACCCTGAGGATGCTAGTGAAATATTCCTGTAAAGTCAGACCCAATAAGGACCAAGGATCTTTTCTTCTATTCTTTAGCAAACTAATGTTCTTCTTATAGTGGGCTATTCAGGGAGGCTGCTTGCTGTCTGAGGCTTTTCTGACTGTGTGTTGTCTATTAGTGTGAGACAGCTGAGCTGACAACATGCTGGCAGCACCGGTTACTCTAAAACACATGGAGTTAAACCCTGGGTTCTAGCTCTGGCCCTGTCACTAACTTGTGTGTCTTGGGGCAACTTCTGTGTGCCTCATTCTCTCTAAGACAAAACAATGCCTTTCCCTGACCTGCTTCACAGGGAAGTTAAGATATAATGAAGCAAAGTTATGTGACTAAGTGATATCATTTATAGAAAATATTTTTGAGGGCCTATCACTTGCTAGGTACTCAATATATGTACTCAGTGATTCATAATCAAAAGGTACTTGATTTTTTTTAAAAATAAAGATTATAGGGTCGGGGATTTAGCTCAGTGGTTTCACTGCCTGCTACGCAAGCGCAAGGACCCGAGTTCGATCCCCAGTACCAAAAAAAAAAAAGATTATATATTCATGCGATAGAAATTGTGGAACTAAAATGAAAAATTACATCTAATCCCAGTATTTCAGTAGTAGTTCTCATTTTTGTTAATTATTTTTGTCTTTGTCTTTATAGTATATTTTTTGCATAATTGAAATTACGGTCTATATAAAGATGTGTGCTTTTTTTCATTCAACACAAGCATATTTTCTTTCATTACTATTGTAATTGCTTTATAATATTGATCTAGTAGATACAGCATAATTTAGCTATTTCATTATTGTAAGAGAATAATATTTTTGGACTGTCATCTATCCTGGGCATGATATAAAGTAAATTGTTCTCTTTTGCTCTGTTGCATCCCCTTTATACCTGTAACGTGTCATTATCATGATCCCATTTGTGCTTGTGAGTTCTAATGTATCCTGTCTTATTTCACTATTTTACGTGTCCTTCCCCAAAACATGAAAAGCCCTTGGAGCGAGGTGCCCTAGTCATTTTGTCTACTGGATCTGGTGCTGTGTGAGGGCTGGAACCCTAACCAGTATTCAGCAGGCACTGCTTAGGTAGAACAGGGTTACTATGGCACAATTACGCCTTTTCCTCCCAGAGCTTACCTTTAAAATAAAAAAATAATCTGGACCTGTAGACATTATTTCTGTTCCACAAGAAACAGTGGTAAGTATTCCCAGTCACCACTTTGTACTTAGTTACTCTTCGTGGCAACCATTTCCTGTTCCTGGAGGTAGACTTACATTGCCCTTTCATTGGTGAGAAAGCAGTGTGCTGCTAGGTCTCACCTTTTTGAAAAACATAGGAAGAGTTTTAGGTAGCAGCTAAAATTTATAATTTGATAATTCTGAGTTTCCAGGCCACTCATTAACTCAATGCTGTGTGGTTGTGGTTGATGGAAGTTCCTCACTTAACTGGGTATGCTTTGAGTGCAGTTTGAGATCATATCCAAGAAACTATCTTATTTAAAATTCCTATGCCTACATTAGGTTTATTTTGTTTTGTTAAGAAGCAAAACAAAAATCCCACCAAAAAACTTTTTCAGGGGATTAAATCATTTGGATTGGACAGAATCGTTGATATTTGGATCCTCCTTCAGCCAGAGGAAGAGCGAAAGAAACGTGAGTACCCACTGGCCTGGAGCAGTGGAAAGCAGCACTCAAATGACAGGGATGGGGATGGCTTGGGTTGGTTCTGAGTCAGAGTTCTTGTCACTCCAGAGAAGCGGCTCTTTTCCCTTAAAGAGAGAAATGCCTGAGACCTCTTGTTTTCCGAGGTACTGACAGATTTTTCTAGATATTTCTTTGAGGAGTCTCATTACTTTCCATCATTGGTCCCTTCGGTTGTCTTCCCCTGCATCCCTGTCTACCTGAACAGCTTTACACATTGACACCTCTGCATTGGGCCCCATATAGCTTCTGGTATTTTCATAGTGCTTTTCTTTTCCTTTTGATCACACTATTACAAATCCCTGTGAAGTAGGTGAGGATCTATTGGAGATGGAGAGACCACTACACTGATTTGCCTAGGGACGCACGGTGAGTTAGTGATGCAGTCAGGACCGGAACCTGGGTCTCCCAATTTAGAGCCAACTAGTGTCATGCTCTGGCTAGAAGTGTGTAGCTGCTGCCTTAGAGTTAGGACAGCCTACCTCACGATGACCTGTGTTTGTGTTCTCCTCAGGAAACCTCATCATTAAAGACAGATTTATCAGAAGATGGGTGCACAAAGAGGGCTTTAGTGGCTTTAAGAGGTATGTGACTGCTGCGGAGGACAAAGAGCTTGAAGCGAAGATTGCAGTTGTTGAGAAGTATAATATCAGGATTCCAGAACTGGTGGAAAGGATAGAGAAATGCCATATAGAAGATCTGGATTTTGCAGGTAAGGAAAGCTACCGCTTCTTATCTTCCTCCAAGTGGAGGAACAGATTGTCTTCTTATATTTCATTCTGCATGAAGTATCTGTGACCATGAGTGGCTGTGCTGTTTAAGAGAAATGGGACAAGGCCCTGGGTTTGATCCCAAGTACTACATAAAGAGAAAAGGGAATAGAGCAGGGTGCTCATTCTACCTTACAGGTCTTTATTGCTGTATCAGTTTGAAACCAGCCAAATGGAGTTTTTGAGTACAGCTCTACCATGTATAACTTTGGGCAAGCCATACAGCCCTTTCCTAGGCATCTGTCCCTTCCTGTGTCAAGTGTAGAAGATGGGTCAAGGTACTCTGCACACTGGAATGTGATTTTTTCTTTTGGTACCAGGGATCAAACTCAGAACCTTGTGCTTGTGAGGCAGGTGGCAGAACCACTGAGCTAAATCCCCAGCCCCTGGAATGTGATTCTTTTTTTTTTTTTTGGCTTAAATTCTTTTATTGGTACATTTTAGGTATACGGTACATTTACATTTATCATTGGGTGCTTGTACCTGTACATGATGTATCTTGGTTCTTATTTTTTCCCCATTTCCTGTCCTCCCTTCACCCCCTCCACCCCTTCCCTATTTACAAAGACTTTGTTTCCATTTTTTCCTTTTTTTACAATTTTTTCTTTCCCTTCTTTCCTTTCCCCTTCCCCCCACTTTCCCTACCCCTTTGGACCTTTTCTTCCTATTTCAAATTATCAATTATTCATTTTAATCATTTTAATCCTTATTTACACTTTCAGTTTCTCATACCAGAGAAACTATTTGGTATTTACACATGTGTGTCCTATTTATTTCACCTAAGAGTATGGCTTCAATATGCATCCATTTAGCTATAAATGTCTCTAGTTTCTCATTCTTTATGGCTGAGTAGTACTCCATTTTATAAAAAAACCACATCTTCTTTATCCAGTTTCTAGTTGATGGGCACTTGGGCTGTTTCCAGGTGGTGCTTTGCAACAAATTTTCTCTGAACTTTCTCTTTTTCTGACTATAGTTTCCTCTTTTTCCTTTTCCTACAGAGCTTTACATCTGCAAGGAAACTTTTTCTTCTCGTTTCTTTCCCTGGGAAGTACCCATCTAACCAAGTTCTGTCTTTCTGTTGTAGAGTACATTTTGGGCACTGTGCACAAAGCCAAAGGCTTGGAGTTTGATACTGTGCATGTTCTGGATGATTTTGTGAAAGTGCCTTGTGCCAGGCATAATCTTGCCCAGCTTCCTCACTTCCGAGTTGGTAAGGAGACTGGTCTCTCCTCTGGTCCTCTTGTTTTAGTAGTTAGGAATTGCCTCGCTGCTTTTTGACTGCCTGGAGTTTGGTTGAATGATGTGACCTGCTTATAGGGTCGTTCTAGAAGGAAAAAAAAGAAACACCTCCTAGTCCTAAACTCTTGATTCTTAATATTGTGGCTTTTAGAACAATTGAACTTCCACAGGGGCCTCTGTCTCAGGAGTACTTGCAATTATGCTCACATCTGACCTTCAGCCTTGAGCTTTTTACTGTCAGAGTGTGGGTGTCCAGCCGCATCTTTTTAAAACATTTAATTTACCTGCTTACCATAGTATTTTTTTTCTTTAATTCTCATTAAAATAATTAAAAATCATAAAAGATGAAGTAGCACACTTTATCATTTGTCTGTTCTCCCCCACCCCCGTACCAGGAATTGAACTCAGGACCTCGTGCTTGTGAGGCAGGGATGGTGCCACAAAGCTAAATCCCAGGCCTATCATTTGTCTACTTTTTAAAATTTATATTCAAGGCTAGTTACTAAACTCTAAAGCACCAGTCCTATTATTTTGGTTTTAAATCTTAGAATAAAACCATTTGAAGTTTTCAAACAAAAAAGTTGTTATATATGGATTAAAAATTTGGAACATAGCATAAATTGAAGTGATGAAAATGTAAATATTAAATATCCCTTACATCTAATGAATATAGCCAAAAAGGGGGAGAGACATGATGTTGAACACAAGTAGAAGTGGAGTGAGGAGAAAGGTGACCAAAGAGTGATTATCATCTGCTTTTTGTTGGGGAAGGTGCTCTGTGGAGATGTAATTTACATACTGAGTAATCTACCCATTCGAAATGTTCATTTCAGTGGCTTTTAGCCTATTTGAAGATCCACTGCTTTGTTGTACTAGGTGCTAAGACTGAGAGATGAGAAGTATAAGATGGGTAGAACAGACTTATTCATGTGTTTTTTTCCCCTGATTGTCCTGTGACAACTTAAGACATTTCCGGACTGGACAGAGTGAGTCCAGAGAGACAGTTAAGGAAATGGAAAAAGCATAGGTATCGGATCCCACCATGGCCCTTGATTTGTAGTGGCCTCATTTTGTGGGTGACTTACCCCATCCACTCCAGTTTCCCCATCCACCTCACAGGTATTGTAAGGAGAGCTGGGACCAGTACTGTATCTGTTACCTTGCTAATGTTAAATTATAAATTAACACATACCAAGGCTAAAAAACTAGTCTTTGAGGTTTTTGTTGTTGACGTTGATGTTTGTTGGAAAACTTTGTATATACAACCAGCCAATCTGGAATGGTTTTTAAAGGAATTAGTGAGGGTTGTAAACATTTAGATGAGATTATAGTTTTTATAAGCAGGCTTTTGAGTTATGTTTTTCCTTTCTTTAGAGTCATTTTCTGAAGATGAATGGAATTTACTGTATGTTGCAGTAACTCGTGCCAAGAAGCGTCTCATAATGACCAAATCACTGGAAAACATTTTGACTTTGGCTGGGGTAAGAGGAATGGAGGCCATGATTAATTTCACCATGTTTGAACTTTATTTGGTTTGAGTGAGGGATCAAGCTGTAGACCTTCACAGGGGTTTGGGTCAGAAAGTTAGATGGGAAAGGAAGAGCTTCAGTGTTCAGAGGCCAGTCAAGAAGCAAGAACTGTTTTAACTGAGGAAACAAAAGTGTGGCTCCTTTCCACATTTTTTCCTAATTCAGTTTTTAAAAGTCTGTTTAAAATATCAACTGTTTTTATGTATTTCTTAATTTCCCTTTGCTCCATTAGTTCTCAACATATAGGGGGAAAGTGGCAAGAGTGTTTTCTGCATCTGAACTTCCTGCCTTTCACTCCTTGTTCTTTTGGGAATGGAAGATGTTGCTGCCACCAGGAGACTTTCAAGGGAAGGAGCCCTAGCCCTTCCCAGGTACCTGGTAGTGTGCAGGTACCAGAAAAGTGAGCTCATTCGCATTTACTCTTTTTTTGTTGTTTGTACTTTTCAGTCCTCAACCTTGTTGGAAACTGAACCACACATTTAGTCTACTTAGTCCATCTTTCCCTGAATTTTAGATACTTAAAGTCTAACATTTGAACCTTAATGCATAAAATATTTTGTTTTTGGTACCGGGGATCAAACTCGGGACCTTGCACTTGCAAGGCAGGCAGTGGAACCACTGCACTAAATCCCCGGCCGTTATGCATAAAATGTAATAAAAATATTCTTTTTTCCTTAAGAATCTCAAGAACATAAAATTTTATATAGCAGGAAGGTTTATTCAGGGAGCCATGTTATACTGTCTCCCAGGGAAGTGAGACATGGTAGCAGCTCTAGAATCTATACATTGCTACTAATGGCATTGAACCTCAGGGTATGGGATGGGTGGGACAGTAACCATTTTTTTTTTAGAGAGTGATGTTCAAAATGTCAGAGTTGTTAAGCAGTGGAAAACAGAACCTTGGTACTCATATCTGAACATTTATTGAGTGCGTAGTATGTGCCATGCATCTTTATAGGCACTGGAGTTGTAATGGTAGGCAAGAGAAATTCCTGCCTTCATGGAGCCTGCATCTAGATTAAGACAAGGTGGACAACAAATTCATGAACAGATAGTTTTCTTCACACTTTTGAGGAAGTTACTATCAAAACCTAAAAGGGAGAACTTTTACAAATAAATAATCCTTATGACCATGTTGCCCGGGCTGAGCTGGAAGGATTGCTTGAGAGCAGAGCAGGAGTTCAGCCTGGGCAGCATAGCAAGACTCCATCTCAAAAACAACAGCAACAACAGAAAGCATTTGTGCAAAAACTTATTTCATAGAACTGATTAGCTTCCACTTTTATTATACTTTTATCTCTCATGTCTCCTTTATCATTTTTCTTTTAAACTTCTCTGAGATAGGCTTATTTGATGATAAAAATATTTCTGTGTTCAAAGTCAGATGCATTTTTCCCCAAACAGATTTTCACCTGGGCATCACTGAGGATGACAGCCCAAGCATCAGAATTTAGTTTCTTCAATGTCACTTGGGTCACCTCTACACTATTTCCATACAGGGCTGGGAAGTAGGTATTTCAGGTATTACAGGCCACACAATCTCTGCCTGGTTTTGAACCACAAGAGTGACCATGGATAGTATAGTATTGAATTGGTGTGTTGAGGTTACAATAAAACTTAATATACAAAAAAGGCACTGGTCTGAATTTGGCCCACTTGTAGGTTATAGACTTTGGTTTAGATCTAGGTGTGACTTTTCCTAATCTCTCAACCAGCACCTCAAGGAATTAAACAGAATAATAATGTTTATGTACAAATAGCTCCTACCCGTTATGTGATTTTTGTGTATAAACTTTGATTGTAGAATCAAAGTGTTTAGAGTGTGTAGTGTGGTTTTCTCATAGAATTACTTTTACACTAGTGATTAAACCTTTAACAAAAGAAATTGTTATATTGGTAACTTTTTAGTAGAGTATTATATAATGGTGCCTTGATTCACAAACTTAATTTGTTCCATGTTTGTGTTCATGCGGGAAAGATAGCTGCAATTGTATTGATTACCCAGTGCAGAGTTCACAAACAAAAACAAAATTTTGCCAAACACTTCTGTTTGCAAACCAAATTGTTTCCAAGCAGAAGCATTCATGAACCAACAAGGTACCACTGTAGAACAGTAGTATCATTTCACAACATCTGTTAAATAGAATTTTTTTAACATAGGAAAATTTCAAGACATTAAAGAGTTGTGAAAACTGCATTGAATAACCATACACACAGTATTCCTGTATATGTATTTGGATAATGTGTGGCCTGTACTAACCAATCCATAATCATTTTTTTATGATTACTAGTCTTGGTTACTTTTCTTGTTGCTGGGACAAAATACCTGACATCCAAAGTTAAAAGAGGAAAGATTTATTTCAGCTCACAGTAAGTAGAGGTCTCAGTCCATAATCAGCTGGCTCCATGGTAGAGGGACATCGCACAGGAGAAAGAGTCCATGGCAAAACAGGCAAGAGACAGCAAGCAGCAATTGGCAAGCATGCCTTGCCCTTTTATCCCATGCAGGCTAAAAGCCTTTTGGGTGGTGCCACTCACAACCAGGGTGGGGCTTCTGTCTTCAGTAAATCCATCAGCCATACACAGAACTATGCTAACTCTAATCATTGGGCTAATTTATTACCACACACCCTTAATCCCAGTATCACACCATTAGTCCACATTCACATACCCTAGATCCAGCCACCTCCCAAAAGCCCCATCTAAGACCACATGAGGTTTTGAGGGGACATCTAGATATAAGCCATAACAATGTCAGAATGCCTTTTTTTGTAGTGATTTGTTCAAGTCACAATCCAAATAAACATTTGGCTATTAGTCTCTTAAATTATTTAATTTAAAGCAATCCAATACTCCTTCATCTCTTGTTTAATGCTCCTTAGTGCAGAAACTGGGTCAATTGTCCTATGGGATGTTCCACATTCTAGATTTGCTTCCTGCATAGTTTTGTAAAGGGCTCTGCATCGCCTGCCCTGGGCTTCCTGTCGAGGTTTGATTTGACTCAGTCGAGGTTTGATTTGACTCAGTCGTAACTTTTTCTGCAGGAGTGCTCCATGGGATAGAAGACAGTCACGCCTCATGTCTCAGGAAGCGCCTGGTACCAGGTTGCCTTGTACCTTGTCCTTTCAGTGAATGCTGAAGGAGTCTTCATCTCTTTAGTAGACAGAGCTAACAAATCCACATTTTTGAAAAGGAAAATAAAGGTTTATACTGATAATTCTCAGCTCAATATTTCATACAAATGCTTGTTGTTTAATACAAATATATAAAGCCACATGAAGCAATTTAAAATGATGAAGTGAATGTCATCTGGTCAATGGGTGGGGTTTGCCACCCATCCCAGATCTGTCTGGTGGCCACACACACTGATAGCACCCTTCCTACCTGAGTGTAACCCCTTCCCCATGGTTACCAGCAGCACTAGCTCACTTGGCTTCATGGTATTTTGTTTGTTCATATGCTTTTATTTTCTGGTACTGGAGAGTGCACTCAAGACCTTTGCACTAAGCTAGCTCTTCAGCCCTTTTTTAATTTCTTATTTTGAGACAGGGTCTTGGTGAGTTCCTAAGTTGCCCAGTCTGGGCTCAAACTTGGATCCTTTTGCCTCATTCTCCTAGTTGACTTTTTTTTAACCAAATGTGCATCACCGACACTGTGAATACTGAAAACAAGACTTTTTTTTTCACATGCTCTCTTCATTCTTTCAGTTTTTAAAGCTGTACCATCCCTGCAATATCAGAGCCTTTAGCCTTTTACTTTTATAACTGTCATGAATTGTCCTGCAGTTCATTTCAGATTTAACATTAAAAGATTTTTACTTCTTTTACAGTGAAACTTAAGGTCCTTAACAGTACTTATTGTTTATACTATTGTATGTATTTCAAAATAATATTCAAAGTAATATCTATGTCATTATTATTGATAAAATACTGACTGGAACTCAGGATTTTTAATGGCTCCATTTCTCCTGGGCATATATTCCACAAATGATGCCTGGTCAAAATTCCATGTTCTGAAGTCATTTGAAGTATGTGTTTCTTTCCTTTGTGGTTTTATCACTAATTAAATATGCAGTTAGATATACTTTTTTGTAATTCACTCAGCAATTGTGTCCCTTCTTTTTGATTTGTCCTTTTTTGAATGTGTAAAGGTCATTTGTTTTCGAAGTCTTGACTTTGTAACAAGAGAAGTCTCTTTCCTTCCTGTCCCCTTCAGATTATTGTCTTCATTAGAAGCTACTTAAAAAAAAAAAAAAAATCAGTTAATTTATCCTTCAGTATCTTCCTGTATCAAGAAATCTGTATTTTCACATTCTCCTTTTCCACAAAAGGTGGCGTTCTGTATATGTTGTGTACCTCACTTTGTCATTTAGAAATGTGCAGGGAAATCACTCTCACTCCGTAAAGCTTTCTCATTCCTGTACAGTGGAGCAGTTCTCTGTGTCAGTGTACCATGACTGTTGCAGTCCCTCACAGATGAACATTGGGCTGCTTCCAATGATTTGTTTGCTAATGCCAGGGTGTGCAGTCTCATCTGTGAGTCATGATCTCTCTCTCTCTCTCTTTTTTTTTTTGTTGTTTTTTGGTACCGGGGATTGAACAGTCATGGTCTCTTTTACCAGTGCATCTCCGGGATGCAGTTGTAAAAGTGGAACTGCTAGAAAAGGTGAATGTGAGTGTGATTTTTCTAGCTATTTCACAATTCTTCATATATTTGGTATCATTTTAGAGCCCCATCAGTTATATATCCCTTAAATAGGGTGTAACCTAACTTTCTGTAAACAGCTTGTCAGGTGGTTGCTGCATACATTTTATGTGGAAAGTAAGTTTTCCCCTTAGAAGAACAGAACTCAGACTAGAGAAATATTTCCTTCTCAGTGAGACTGAGTTGGGAAACATCTGTCTGCCCATAGGAGGCTCTGAGGAAGCCTGGGAAGACTGCCTGTTTGTGTCAACAGATGTTAAGTCTGAAAGACCTTCAGTGAGATGGAGTACATCTGCTTCTTTTTTAAATTCCAGTTTGTGCTTATGTAGGGACATCTTGTTTCAAGAGGGGCTGAGTTTAGCCACTGGTCGGAAAGGCCGGCCACAAAGGATGTTGAAGGCTCTGCTGTGTGCATGAGAGTAATAATTTAAAGGCTATGAAAGCCTGTTGAGAAGGATAGAGTCATGGATTTTGGTATTTCAAAGTCAGAGTGTGCAGTTTTCTGCTACCTGGATTGAAAAACCACTTTGATCTCCTCTGTAACCCAACAGGAGGACAGGTAGCCTCCCTTTTTTTCTCGCCCCTGGGTTAGTCTGTTTTGTGTTGCTAGAATGAAATACTTGAGGCAGGCCATTTTATTAAGTCAAGAGGTCCATTTGATTTAATTCTGGTGGCTGGGGTGTTCAAACAGCATGGTGCCAGCATCCTGTTCAGGGCCCTCTGGCTGCATCACAGCATGATAGAAAAACAGTGAGCCAACTGGTTGCATGCAGAACAGCCAGATGTGTCTAGTGACCTCACGTCATAACAATCTGCTCTCATGAGAACTCACTTCTCAAGACCAGCATTAATCCCTTCTGAGGTGGTGTCCCCATGACCTAGTCACCTGGTATTACTCTCTGCCTCTTAAAATTTGTACTATTCAACCTAGTCGTGCTGGCAACCAAGCTTCCAGTACACAAACTTTTAGGGGACCAAACTATATTTAAGTCATAGGAATCTCTTAGAAAATATGTCTTCATTTTCTAAAAGTTTGAAGTTTTGAGGAAGTGAAGGAAATAATTGTGTTGTTGGGCCGAGGATTTAGCTCAGTGGTTCCGCCCCCTGCCTCGCAAGCGCAAGGTCCCAAGTTCGATCCCCAGTACCAAAAAAAAAAAAATAGTAATAATAATAATTGTGTTGTTGAAGTATGATGTAGAAAAAGTCTAATTGCTCAGAAGACAGCTTCTCAGCCTCTCAGATCTTAGGTTCTTTTTTTTTTTGGTACTGGGGACCGAACTCAGGACCTTGTGCTTGTGAGGCAGCCAGCAGCACTACCAAGCTAAATCCCTAGCCCTGATCTTAGGTTCTAAATTGAGATCTCATAAGTGCATCCTTTGGACAGGCCTACCGTGGAGTTTGTACTCAGCAAGTGCCTGTCCAAGGATGAAAGAAGTGCCTCCTTCTTCTGTGGGTGGTCATGGTACAAAGCTTAGGCCCTGGTCAGGCCTGGTTCACTCCCAGTTCTTCCACTCACGCATTTGTGATTGAGGGTATGCTACTTAACCACTCTGCTTCAGTTTCCCTATCTGTAAAACTGTCATAATGACCATAACTGCAGCTCAAAAGATTGGTTTTTTTGGTACTGGGGATTGAACTCAGGAGCTTGTGCTTTCAAGGCAGGCGGTGGAACCACTGAGCTAAATCCCCGGCCCCTCAAAAGATATTTTTTATAAATTAGGTAAATATTAACTTTTATTCTATCACATTGATGTATTACATTTTGATATAATCAGATTAACCTTTCAGGGCTCTACATAGACTATGTCCTTAGTACATACTAGATGAATGTTTATGTTTTAAATTTATTACAGTAAAAGACATGTTGTCATTAATCCTCCTCACAATATTCCCCTTTGCTTCAGACATTCTTATTCCATCTTTCTTGACACTTTCTAAAGCAGTCCTGGAAGTTCTCTTTTGTGAGTGTCTTAATGAGATGCACTAAAAAATATGGTGAATGCTCATTACAGCTGTGTCCTCATTCACGTTGTTTACTGAGTTTGGTGCTTGGGTGACTTGTGGTTCTTCCCCAAATTCAAAATGCCCATGAAAAGTGAATGTTTTGATCGATTCAGGACATTAAGGCACCCACAACAGCACAACTAAAGACACTCGTGAAAGACTTCCATAGTGTGTTTTTTATTGTAATAAACTTTTTAAAAAAATTAACATTCATTGTATTTTTCAGTCATGTACTTTTCACTGTCCATGTTTTATGTGAAATGTATACTGTGTTCAGAGTACATACCATACATGCATGCAGTAGTGTGTTCATAGCATATATTGTATGCGTTCAAAGTGCACATTATACAGGTAATACTGTTAAGTACATTATACATGTAATACATACTGTATAGTACCTATCATACATTTAACTATAGCATTGTTTGAAGGTACTAGGTTGTTATTTGTGCTTTTCATTGTAATGCTGTCAACTGTAATGGAGAGCCCAAAGGCTATCTGACATTTCATGTCACCAGATGAGTGCTGAAGCAGAGTCCAGTTGCCTTCTTTTTTGTGGTTCTTAGCACCTTTTATTAAAGTATGACCCTTGATGACAATCTGGCAGGCATATCTATGTCAGCCGAGAAGGGAATGATAGAGGACACAAATACAGAAACAGTAGGATTCAGAAAAATAATAGCTATTTTGTATGGGGTAGATGACCTCCACAGTTGTACAACAAACACCAGTTCTTTATCTATACAAACTGCCCCTGTCCCACTCCCCCTTTTTTCCCACCGCCCCCTCTTAAAGATCTACTAATCTTCAAATAATATAATATGCTGTTACAGAAATAACATTGGCATAGATAACTCCTCTGTCAGAGACAGTGGGAGTTGCCAGAGCTCTAGATAGGTGGAAGTGGCCATAGATGTGCCCAGCTTCTTCCCTCTGGGGCCGCATACTGGCAGAGCACCACCTTCAGGGAGGCTGGAATCAATTGCCTTCTATTAAGCTAGATATTCAGGAGATTTTTTAAAAAATGTCCAATAGTGCTACTCTTGTTTTTAAAAAAGTATAGTTGTCATTGTAATGGGTTTGTTGTCGTTATTTTTAAAGTGAATTAATATTTGTATGATTTCTTAGTTTAGAATTCTAACATGGCAAACTTCAATAAATCTCGTAAACAAAGTCTCTTTGGACCCCTTAATGTTTAGTAGTGTAAAAGGTCCTGAAACTTCATGGCTACTCTGGAGAATATTTTACAAAGTATAGCTTACAATTCTCTAATGATTTATGAAATTCAGTGGGCTATGACAGGGTTTTAAGAAGCAAAATGGTTTAAAATCTAAAATCAGGGTACATTGCATGTAAGTTTACATGGTATTTTGTGAAATTTTATTTCAGCTTCTTATGTACTTGCATAGAATTGTAATGGTAAGTGGTAAGTAAACTTTGAAAGTCAACCCTGGAGAAATTTGTGCAGTTGGCCAGGAAACTTGTACAAGCATATTCATCGCTACATTGTCAAAATGTTTAGAAACCACTTGAATATCCACACCAAGGGAATGGATAAATGTGAAAGTGCTACGATTGAGTCTTCTGTAGCACTTGAGAGAAATGTACTAGATGAGAAGGAAGCCAGAAGTATAACATTTATGTAAACAAATATCTTTGAAAGGATACCTTATGTTCTTAGATAGATAGATAGATAGATAGATAGATAGATAGATGCAAGAGTATGGCTGTTTTGGAACAGGTCAGAAAAGACACCAAATTCAAGATGCTTATTGTCTCTGGAGAAAGAAATGCAGATGATAGGCAAAGGGACATCAGCAAGATCTGTAGTTTTATTTTAAAAGCAATTTCACACTGTCCTTTGTCAGACCTTGTCATTTGAAACTTACGTGTTTATGTATTTTCCATTTTGTGTAGCAGATAGGTAGTAGGTTCCACAAGAGAAAAAATCAAATAAAATATGGGTCATAGATGGTGAAAAAAAATTGATTATTAGCAGTTTTAGTTCAGAAAATAGGATATCATAATTTATTGGTCACCAGATAATTATAGTTCTGCCTAGTGTGTATGCGATTCCTTGGGGCCACAGTACCTCAGATGGAGGGAACTGATGTTGTAGCATCTCCACTTTAGGAGATTGCCCGCCAGGCATGAGGACTCTGCAGATACTGTTGTATTTCTTCCTCACAGCAACCATATGAAATAGGTACCATGTTATCTGCATTTTACAAATTAAAAATAACTTTGAGTTGAGTCACTTGCCCACTAGCCAGCCAACATCTTGGGAAGGTGGAGAAACATTTGGGGTTGGCCTGGGCAGGTTCTTCTAAGGTTTTCTATTTTGGCTTAGGTTGTAAAGTGAATGCACAAATAGTTTTCTAGTGATGTAATTAGGGATGGGGGGTTAATATAAGATAAAATCCAGAAATAGTCCTAAAACAGTCCTAAAATCTAGTAATCTGTAGTTTTGTATGTCCATTACATTTTTGTAAAAAAAAGAAAAAAAAAACAACCTAGCAGTTATACCAGAAACCAGTTGGACAGTCTTGGATGTTCTTTCTTGAGATAATTTTGAAAGCAAGAAAAGTCATGGACTGTCAGCATCTCTGGATTGGTGTAAAAGATGTTTCCAGCTCCCTAGCTCTCGGAGTTTCCAAGTCGAAGGTAGCAGAGATATTTCAATTAACTTTTTTCTCTCCCTTTCTTTCTCAGGAGTACTTCTTGCAAGTTGAGCTGACAAGTAATGTTTTAAAAACAGGAGTGGTTCGCTGCTGTGTGGGGCAGTGCAACAATGCCATCCCTGTAGATACTGTCCTCACCATGAAGAAACTGCCAATCACTTATGTATGTATGCTGTCTGTAGACTTTATAATTACATACATTTCATAGCTTGTGAACAAGGTGCTTATTTGGGTTTTGGATGAGGTACATAAAAGAGACCCTTTTGTAATCTTTTTTAAATGGCTTTTTGTATGTAAAGCATAACAAACGTGAGGTTTGCCCTTATGTCAGACAGTATAATCAAGGCTCAGGATGGGTGGTACTGTCTGGACAAGCTAATTGGCCTTTCTCTCTGGGAGATGGGGTGTGACGAGATATTGCAAAGGAGAGCTCCTTACCTGGAGGTCATTTTCTGTTTTTATTGGTTCTCTCTCTCTCTGGGTTTTTGGTTTTTTTTGTTTTTGTTTTGTTTTGTTTTTTGGTGCTGGTCATTGAACCCAGAGCCTCACGCATGCTAAACCCATACTCTTCCACTGAGCTATACCCACAGTGCACAGTTCTTTTGTCTTTTGACTTTTATAAATTTTTGTTAGAGGATTTGATAGAGTTGAGTCTACCCTAGACAGTAGTGCTATGGGAAGTGTTACCTCTGAGGGTTTGTAGAGTTGAAAAATCCAAATCATAATGCATTGTCACTGGGCAGGTATGACAGAGTTCAGCACCTTTTGGTAGAAAATCCTGTCTTAAATTGTATCCTTACTGCTTGTTATTATCCATCACTGCAGAGCAACAGGAAGGAAAACAAGGGTGGCTACCTCTGCCACTCCTGTGCAGAACAGCGCATCGGGCCTCTGGCCTTCTTAACTGCCTCTCCAGAGCAGGTTCACTCCATGGAACGCACAGTGGAAAACATAGTGCTCCCCAGGCACGAAGCCCTGCTCTTTCTTGTCTTCTGAGACCAAGTCCAGTGTTCTCCATGGTGCAGAGTGGCTTGCCATGGTCTCCCAAGTGCTGAAGGAAGCCAGTGTGGGCAGAGCTCCTGCTCACGTAAGACTCTTGAGTTCAATCACAGAACATTTTCTAAGGAAGAAGAACCCAACCAGAGTTGGATCTGCCATTTCTCCGTTCCCTACAGATAGCCAGTTACCACTTGCCTATCCTCAATAAGTATCAGGTCAGGGAAGTGAGGGATGTTCTTTTGATAAAAACATTTTATGTATTTAAACTTTTATTACAAGGTTTCAATTAAACAGGCATTGCAGCACTGGCATGCCACTGTGACACCTTGCTCCAACACTTGTTTCTAAACTTTCTCCTCTTTTCTCTTTTCAGCAGCTCATCACAGAGTATGAGATTTTTGTGCCATGGGGAGTCACATGTTTATGTAAGACATAGTGTGTGTCTTTGTCTTTGTGGGGCTTGGAGTTTAAACAGGGAAGCAGCATCATGCATGAAAGACAAGTACAAAGTAACAATGGATAGACTTAGACTTCTTGTGTTCCCCAAAGATCAGAAACACTTGTAAGGGAAACTGGAGTAATCAGCTACTGTGGAGGAGACAGAGTTGGTAGAGATGGGAAGTTGTTACCTGGTTCGGTGTGCTTGGGGGTGCTGGGTAGAAACTGTAATGAAATTATAAATTCTTACAGAAACTACCAGTGAAAACACATCACAGAGATGTACATGAATCTGGTATTGGACGTTTTTTGCCATTCAATTTTAGGATGCTGGTGGCAACTGGAAGGGTAGACTTGACATTACCCAAAGAATACACCACATTAGGCTCTGAGCTGAGCCAAGTGGACGTCAGCATCTTGAGACATTACATCTTTTTTAGGAAAATAATTCCAAATGTTTGAAGGGTGTTTTAAGAAGATCGGATAAATTAAAAGGCAAACAGTTGTATTGTCAGCAAGACATGACAGCTGATGGCCTAGACCAAGGTAATTGCAGTGGGACTGGTGATTAGAGAGTGGATACATAGGTCAGTGGTCCCCAGATGAGCAGCATTGGCATCACCTGAGCACTTGTTAGAAATAAAATTTCAGTCCCCACTCCAGATGTAGAGGGTGAGACTGGGCTGAGTCCCTGCGCTTGGTATTTAACTAGCTGTACAAGTAAGTCTGATGCACACTAAATTTTGAGAACTTCTGATTTTCATCCTAAGAAGGTGAATCAGTAGGTCTTAGTGCTTAGATGAGTGTTGTGACTCAGTGAGAGAACCTCAGTGTAACTCGATTTTCTGGCTGCTTCTTCAGGTGGGTGAGGGTGTCTTTCATTAGAAAAGAAAATAGATTTGTGTAAAAACAAGGGTGAATTTGATTTTTGAAATATTGAATCTGGGCATGCTCATGAGAAATCCAATTAGAATTGTCCAGGGGGCTGTTGCATACTGGGTCTGTTTTTTCTTTCTGAAATTCCTTTATTTTGCTGATACTCAACTTTTTAAATTGGTTTCGTGACTACTTGTTTTTTAATGTTTGCTCTATTTCTATTTTCTCACCTTACTCTTACATCATCTAGTAGGTTTTGCTGAAGTCCATACTTTAGTAAAGCACATTAAACTGGAAGTAGAGATTTTAGTTATAAGTATGGAAGAAGTAGTAAGGTGTTTCACTTGAAGAGTTTTTTTGGGGTTTTTTTTGTACTGGGAATTGAATGCAGGACCTTACGCTTGTAAGGCAGGCATTGGCACCACTGAGCTAAATCCCCAGCCCACTTGAAGAGTTTTGATAAGCTCATCTAGGAGAGTATAAAGAATGAGAAGGCCAGAGGTACAAGAAACAAGCCTGAGGACTATGAGGCTTGGGCTAACAAAAGCAAGAGGGCTCTTGAAGAGGACTGACAGCTGATTCCAGAGGAAGGGCCAGCATGATGGAGTTCTTCCCGAATTCAAGAGAGAAGTGAGTTGAAAAAGAAGTGAACATTAGCAGCCAGTGGTACAAAGAGGCTAGTAAAGCTATAAAGATGTTTCTGTAACTGACACTATGAAAGTCAGTGTTAACATTAGCCAATCAGTTTCAGTGAGGCTAAAATGTAAGAGAAGATGATCTAGTAATTGATGGATTAAATGTACCTGCTTGTATTGTTTTCTTCCTGAAATCATATTAAAATGACAGAAGGACTTTTTTAAACATAAGGGCAAAGAAAATAGACAACAGCCACAAAAATTTAGAGGTTGGAAAGCCTGTGTATGTCCTCAAGGGAATCTAAGTAGCTTCAGCAAAAACAATGACAATGACATTAAAGTTCCTAAGGAAGTAGGCCATGCAGTTGACCCAGGGGAACAAATATGCAATGATCAGGGCCCCCCCTCCCCACACACATCCAGGTGCTCAGTGTCAGTCATGTCCTTTGTGCTCTACTCTTAACTAGGAGCAGTAAACCTAGGATTGGCAGATCTGAAAAGTGCTTCCAATGAAAGCTGGATATCAAAATTGAAGAATCAGCTTGGAGAAAAGAATCTATGCAGGGAGAAGAAAGCATCTAAATATCTTTAATATATCCAGAAAATAAGAGAAGATAACTGCATTTGTGAAATTAATACTTTTGAGACAAAAGTGTAAAAGTGTTAAAAACTTAGTACATGTTGGAAGGATAAGTTGAGAAAATAGAAAGTAGAGCAAAAACAAAGATAAACAACTTAAGGAAACAATTTAAGACTGCATAGTAAAGGAGTTTTAGGAAAATAAAGCTCCCCCCCAAGAAAAGAAAAAGTTTAAATAAATTAACCAGAACTAATGATAGGAGTTTCTGAATTGAAAGGGCTCACAAAATGCTTACTAGATGGGCAGAAATAGCACTCTAGTGAGTGTAGCATGCTAACTAAAAAAAGTAGAAGTAGAAACCAATGTGAGTGTGGTAACCACTACATGATGGAAACAAATTATTAATTATTAATAGTGGTGAAAATTTTAGAACAGTAAAGACAAAGATCCTATAAGCTCCCAGAAAGAAAAAAAGCTTTATGTAAAGGATCAGGAATCCAAATGTCTTCAGATTATGCAATGGCAGAACTAGACAGCTGTCCTTTAAAAAAACAGAGAGGAATAGCTGGGTGTGGTGGCCCATGTCTGTAATTCCAGCACTTGGGAGGCTGAGGCAAGAGAATCATGAGTTTGAGGTCATCCAAGGATACACAGCAACACCCTGTCTCAAAAACAAAAAACTAAACCTACCAGAAAATCAGTAGAATTAGAGCACTTTCATACCTCCATTTTTTTGGCCTGTTCTACAGCCTTTCTCTAGAAGCCACTGGACAATATGGCTCAGTGAAATGAGGAAACAAGATTGGGGGAGACATTCCTCTAGGAAACAGTCTTCCCTATGCATGGAGGCACTAGACCACATTGGAGTGGGGCCTGAGGCTCTAGTGGATGAGCTTAGTAAATTTCAACTGTTCCTAAATATATATGTATTTTTACATTTTATTAGCGCATGCTTACAGTACATGATGATTACATTCCTTGTAGGGAGTTCATACATGTACAAAACACCTCTCAATTCTTTTTTCATCCCCTCTCCCCTTCCCTTTTCCTCCATCTCTTGATCCTCTTCGCATTTCTCTCTACTTCCTATTATCTATCTTTTATCTTCCTCTTTATTTATATTTTGGATTTCTCATAAAGGAGAAGCCATGCAATCTTTAAGCTTATGTGCCTGATTTATTTCACTTAATATTATGGTCTCAAAGTACATCTATTTTCATACAAATGACTCAAGTTTATCCTTTATGGCCGAGAAGTACTCCATTGTGTATAAATACCACATTTTCTTTATCCATTCTTCTGTTGATGGACATATAAGTTGCTTCCAAGATTTAGCTAGTATGAATTGTGCTGTTATAAATATGAGTATGCATGTATCACTGTAATATGATGCCTTTAACTCTTTTGGAAAGATACCTAGAAGATAGCTGGCAGAGTGTTTAGGCTGGAGTTAGTGTCACGTATAGAAAACTAAACCAATGGAGATTTTTAGGAAGGCAACTGTTTTGGAAAGACTTGGTCCCAGTGAATGATAATTGTCCACCAGTGGTGGCAAGTATCCTAAGATCAGAGAAAGTGCCGCACAGATCTAGGAATGCTTAAAATACAGTTTAAGGAATGCTTGCAAACAGAAGTGTGTCTTGAGTGGCAGCAAGATAGGTAGATCTGCATCCCAAGGCAAGAGAAAGGGGTTTGTATGCCAAGCCAGACAAAGGTGGGCCACAGCCAACCAGAAAGTACCTCGCCCTTCTCAAAAACAATATATTAATATCTTCCTGGGTCAGCTAAGAAACAGTCCAGATATCAGTGACAAGTATAACACTCTTAGCTATCTTAACAACTTAGTTTGTCCTATAGATTTGTGATATATGTCAGGGTCACCTAGACGGTAAAGTGGTGTTTACAAGCAAGATGGCTGTAGGATATCTAGCTGGATGTCTACTGTGATTATTCTTTGGAAGGTGACAAGTTGTGCAGAAGAGACGACCATGGTTACTCCCCACCGCTGTATATGAGTGTTTCCATAATCAGCATCAGTATGTGTATTGGAGGTAGGGAATGTGTGAACCTGGTGGAAGAGGAGAGTAAAGGAGCTGAAGCTCCTGCCTTCATAGTAGGTCAGTTACAGTTCCTAAAACTAAAAAAAGAAAAAAAAACAGAAGTAGAAACCAATGTGAGTTTATGTAGAGACACATACCAAAACAATCAATGAAAAGATTTTAAAATCTTTTCTTTTGAGGAGGGTTTTTTTTTTCCTTTTTTTGGTACCGGGGATCGAACTCAAGACCTTCCGCATGCAAGGCAGACGTGGTGCCACTGAGTTAAATCCCCAGCCCTGAGAAGGGGTAACTGGAGAAGTAGGGAGGTTTTTTTTTTGGTAAGTGCCTTATGTAACTATTGACTCTAAGCTGTGCATCTATATGGTGAAACTGTCAAATAGTGGATCCTGTGTAGACTGGACTCAACAAGCAAGGCTAGGAAGAGGTATGAAGGTAGGCAGGTGACATGACATTAGGAAGGAGTCACTGAAGGTAGTTTTTCTTATGCTGTTTTTAAGTGTATAATTCAGTGGTTGTGGATTTTTAAAAAAATCATTTTCTTAATACACATTTTCTAATCTGGACCCATAGTCAGCAGACAACACTGTCATCAGTTGTTTCATAATCACATAACCAAGGGTCACTGATGTTCTAGCCTAACACAGTGGGGATCTTAATAGGCCAGTTCCACATTTTAGGACCTATTACAACATCCATACTTTCTGATACCACATTCAGTATCAAGATACTTTTTGCTGCGAGTAACCCAAAAGCAAAACTCTCAAAGACGTTAAATGGAAAATGTGATGACTTCATGCAGGAGTCCAGAGCCAGACAGATTGCTAGGTTGCTTAACTTTGTGCTTAAGAACCTGGTGGTTGGGCAGGGGATTTAGCTCAGTGGTTTTGCCACCTGCTGCACAAGCACAAGGACCTGAGTTCGATTCCTGGTACTAAAAAAAAAGAGAACCTGGTGCTTTCTTCTTGCTGTCATCATTAGTGTGTCAGGTGTGCCCAGGCTGACTTCCCTGATGACCACTTGTCTGCGGTGTTTCGGGCATTGTGTTCAGACACAGCTGTGTCTGGAGGGGTAAGCTTGTCTCTGTGTCTCTTAGTAGTAAGAAAACCATTCCTGAAGCCTCCCTCACATGTCATTGGTCAAAATGGGGTGACTGTTCCATTCCTAAACCAATCACTAGCATGGAGGAATGCTGAAGAGGGCTGCTGCTGTGACTATACAGAACTGAGGATGAGCGCACACAGTCCCTTCTGAGCTCTCTGCCTTGGGCTGCCTCTCCATTGCCTCTGCATCCTCCAGGGCCTCTTAGATCACTGAAAATACCTGTAACTGCCTGCAGCCCAGCTGCCCAGTGACTGCTTTGTTCTGGAGCAACTTGAAAACTGGCTGGGATGCCTTTATGTCAAAGAGTGTTCTGAAGATTACACATTTATTTTGTAATTAGTGCTTTTGGCTCTTTGCCCAGAGATGTGAAACAACAGCCCTAGAAAGAGAACCTCCTGTATTTGGGGCAAGGACGTCTACCAGAAGGAAGCAATTGGGTGGAGCCAGAGACATGCTATTGAGATCACAGGGTTCTAATCATTGCCAGAATCTTTGCTCTTTATTTAGCCTGCTTTTGTTCCAGTTTTGTTTAACCAGAGTTACTAGGTGATCTACAACCCTGCTACTCTGAAGTTTGATGCTTCACAAGCTACTTCTGCCTTCTTACCAGCCTGTCTGCCCAGCTGCTGTGCTCTTTCTGGCCTGACCATGACGTTTGCTTCCCAGTTTGTATCTTTGCTTGTCCCTCTCCCTGTTTAGGATGCTCCCTGTACATATTTATTTAAATTCCACTCATCCCCCTAACACATGTCCTAACTACAGTGATCCTCAGGTGTTCAGACTTTTTAGTGATTTCTGCTTATACAGAACTTGTGTGACCCAACAGTATTTACAGTTCATGTAGCATTTATTATCTATTAATTGTAGCATAAGTTTTTTTCTGCTATGTTTGTTTTGATATATTTTCCCTTTCTGGCCGGTTTGTAAGCCTATCTGTTTGTATTCTGTCCCCGCGCCCCACCTCCCCCATTTCCTTCTCCCCCTCTCTTGGATTGAACCCAGGACCTTCGTACTGAGCTGTATCTTCAACCTTTTTTTAATTTTTAATTTTTATTTTGAGACAGTATCTCACTAAGTCATTAAGTTGCCCAGCTAGGGTCAAACTTGTGATCCTCATGTCTCAGCTTCCCAGAATGCAGAGATTACAGGCATGTCCCACCATGCCTGGGCAAGGCTGTATAGTTGTTGAAAAAAAAGTCTCAGGGGCCGGGGATTTAGCTCAGTGATTCCACTGCCTACCTTGCAAGCACAAGATCTCAAGTTCTATCCCCGGTACCAAAGAAAAAAAAAAAAGTCTCAGATATGACCTCAGGCCATTGTGAAAAGGACAATACATGTACTGTCATCTTCACTTTAAAGATGAGGTGGTACCAATCCAGATGGCTCAGGTAACTCCAAGTGGTGGACAGCAAACAGTAGAATGAACGAAACGGTAGAATGAATGCTTAACACTCAGGTTTCTAAGTCATGTCTCTTCCCCTGTACAAAGTAGTAGTAGTTGTCATTATCACATTAAAATAGAATAGAGAATAAATGCTACAAGAGCTCAGAGGCAGATTGGTACCTCTGAGTAGGCAGAGAAGGCTCATTGGACAAGAAGAGCTGAGCAGGCTCTGGAAAGGAAGGTTAGATGTAGAGAGGATGGTGCAGCAGTGACTGCTGGGCTAAGCATGAGCCCTGGGCCTGACCCGTGAGCCTGTTGGCCAGCCCCAGGGAAGCAGTGGAAACAGGTTGGTGCATGAGCAGAGTTCTGGATGGCCTTTGGGAAGTGGTGGCCCTGGCCACATAGGCTGCTTTATGTGATCTGAGAGCCTAACTGGGATACTCAGGGTCTTCTGGAGAATAGGCTTCTTGCAGAACAGCACCTCAACCAAGGAAAAAATGTTAGGGCATTAACAGACAAAACTTCCTGCTTCAAAGGACAAAGGAAAGTAGTAGGAGGGTGCACTTGGCATATGCATGAGTCCTCCACATTTCTCCCATGGCTTCCTTTCAGTACCTGGGGCCTTGACATCCAGTGAATACTCAACCTTTCAGCTAGGAAACTTGGGACTGCAGATTCATCTATTGTCACTTAACAGATTGGAGGTTCCAACTCTGAAGTTGGATTTTCAGGTATCTTGGTTTTGTGTCTCTAATACATGAAATTCAGCATGGTTGAAGTCTTTAGGTTTCAGCCTCTGGCTTGAATTGAGAATTGAGGTATTTTAGCATGTTATTCTCATGTCTGACTTGTTCAGTGTCATTCAAAATAGCCATGTAGCCAGATCTGGTAGCACACACCTGTAATCCCAGCACTCTGGAGGCTGAGAAAGAGGATTGCAAGTTCAAGATTAGCCTGGGCAACTTAGTGTGAGACCCTGACTCAATTTTTTTTTTTTTGGTATGGGGATTGAACTTGGGTCCTTGCACTTGTGAGGCAGGGAGCGGAACCACTGAGCTAAATCCCCGGCCCGTCTTAATTTTTAAAAAAGGAATAGGATGTAGCTCAGTGTGAAGGTTCAGGGTTCAGTCCCCAATAGCCCCACCACCACCAAAAAAGCCCCACCCATCTGAGGCCTTGGATTTCTCATATCCATACAGCTTCAGGATTGGAGTAGTGCTGTTTCCAGAGCTAGCGTTTAATGACATGCTGCCCTGGGTAACTTCTGGTTAGCTAATGTACTGCATGGGTGGGCTATTCAGAACATCAGTGCATAACTAATCATGGATCTTCATTACTTCCCTACTTCTCATTTACCATACTCACACCTAGCACAAACTTCCATATCAGTTACAAAGGTTTCAATGACAAGTAATGAAAATGAAATGTTAGAAGGAAAAAAGAAAATGTTTAGAAGACTATTAGGAGATGATTGATTCACAAGAAATTGGAGGACTGGTTTTGGAAGATGGATAAGAACCAAAGCAGTCTGGAAGCCAAGAATGGGAAGCATAATTATTCTGTTGCTTCTGAGGCCACTTCTGGGCACTTCTCTGTGTATTCTGCTGTGCTACATTCATTCCATTTTCAATAGCTCTGAACCGCAGGTGAGAGGTTCAGATGGGCTCAGTCCAGGTCTGGTGCCTGTGCTGTGGTGGGAGCAGGGAGGTTTATATCTAGATGTACCCCTAAAACCTCATGCACTCATAGGTGGGCCCTGAGGGTGTGATAATCATCAGTGGATCAGTCCACTGATGAGTTTATAGCTAAATATGATTTAAAGGATGAAGCCTAGTTGGAGGAGGTGGATCACTGGAGGTGTGGCCTGGAAAGATCTAGCTCCTTCCCTCCTCCCTTGATCACTGTCTGCTCCCTGTCTGCCCAGCCATGTGCTGTTTCTCTTCTGCCTTGCTCCTCTGCCCTGGAACCAGTCAAGTATGGACTGAAGTCTCTACAAATTGACCCAAAATAAAACTTTCCTCCTTAGAGTTGTGGGTGTTGAGTATTGTGTCTTCTGTGACAAGAAAGTATGATGAAGAGATGTTACGTACTGGATAGCTAAGAATAACAAAAATAGGGAAGAAAGGAGCATACTCAATATAGTCTTGTATGTGTAAATTCTGAAACAATATCTGCACATTAAATTTGGATACCAGGTAGTGGAAATTGAGGATCCTATCATTTGAATTGGGCTGCTCCTGCCTCAAAGGAGCACAGAGTTGTGGGGAAAGTAGACTCAAGAATTTTTTTTTTTTTAATTCTGAAGCCATGATGTGGTAGCCTTGTCTAATAGTAAAAGATCCTTGATGGAGAAGTGGAGTGGGCAATTAGAAACATGGGGAGGTCTTTAAATGTGTTTGTTAGTTCCTATTTTCCTACTTTTTACTTCTAGAAGAGAATTTAAAAACAAACTAAAAGAGTCTTATTTTTTGATCAAGAAAAATCAAGGTAAAATATAAAAGATAAATGATCAGTTGTCTTCATGGAAAACATTGTGGGGGGCAAGAAATGAGGGAAGGGGAACATGTGAATTACTTAGATTTTTGGCCAGCTAATAACATTTGAGCTAAAGGCTTAATAACTGTAGAGCTTTCAGGTCCATTAGAGTTCTGTGTACTTTTTCCACTTCAAATACTAATTTTAAAAATCAATTCTTGGGCCAGGGATTTAGCTCAGTGTCCCTGTGTCTGCCTTGCAAGCACAAGGTCCTGAGTTTGATCCCTGGTACCAAAAAAAAATTGACTCTTGCCAGGCCTGGTGCCACACACCTATAATCCCAGCACTTGAGAGGCTGAGACAAGAGGATCACTACAAGTTTGAGCCCAGACTGGGTTACATAATGAGTTCAAGGCCAGCCTGAACTACATAGCAAGACCTTGTTTAAATAAGTAAATAAATAAAAAAACAAAAATTTAAAAACCCCAAAACAAAAAGAAGAAAATAAATAGATTCTTCTCAATAGCTACCAGGTATTAACCCCCCAGATCATGTTAATTCATTCATCCAATATTTATCGGCATTTACAGAGTGCTGAGGATGGCCCTGAAGAGTATGATAGATGGGTCACCAAAGATGGCTTCCCTTGATCCCTTCCCTCCATTGGTCATTCTCCTTCCTCTTAAAACTGGACTGGCTTTGTGACTTGCCTTGACCAATACAATGCAACAGGAGTGCTATGTGATTTAGACAGTTTCTGGTCTAATCTTTAAGGGGTCTGACAGCTTCTACTTTCTTTCATTCACCTCATGAGCAGTCTGACTGGCCCAAGACCATCATTCTGTGAGCAAGCCCAAGCAGCTATGTGGAAAGGCTTCTGTAATTTTGATGAACACTCCTAAATTGAAGACTTGAAGTCAGTGAGAAGTGGCACTTGGAGTACTTCCGGCAGCATATTGATTGGGTGCTGTGCTCGTGTCCACCTTCCAAATCTTGTGGTGCCCCCCCTACCCTTCAAGTGCAGGGGGCAGTTGGCAGACAGTTTACAATCAGGACTGCTCTTCTCCTTGCCTAAGTCCAGTACCAGTTCTGTTCAAGCTCCGGCATTGGTTGAGCTGTGTGAACTTGATCAGGTCAATTTCTCTAGTCCATAGTTTTCTTATCTGTGTAAAATGAGGACATGGTATTAGGCCTGTGGTTTTAGGAATAAGTATAAACAGCAAAACAATAACAACAGTAATGCAGGGAAGAAAAGAAATAATGTGTGGGCCAGGGATTTAGCTCAGTGCTTCCGCTGCCTGCCTCGCAAGCCCAAGGTCCCAAGTTTGATCCCCAGTACCAAAAAAAAAGAAAGAATGTGTGTACCATGGTAGCTGGGCCCAAACTTGCTATTGTTTAGATCATGTTGCTTCTCCTCACATGGAAATTTTGGTACAAACACCTCAAATCTGTGGTCTGGCTAGGTCTAGGAAAGAATTTTTTCCTCATTTTAGAAAGAAAATCCAAGGCTAATCATTTTGGACTCTGCATTCCTACTCTTTGTCCTCTATTTTCCTTTGTGGAACATTTCTCTTTGGCGATTCTTTCAGTACATTTTTAAATATTGAAAATAGGTATTTTATTTTGTTTATACAAGGCACACTTTCAAAATATAAATCATATAACATGTAACTATAACAAAGAAGTATAAATATAAAAGCACACATACAAAACATCACTGAGTTCAGTTTTCTTTCTCAATCCTTACATGAGGGAATTCACTGGCTCAATCTCTCTCCTGCCTTTCTCAGCTCCCTTTCAATACATGCAGAGTACTGGAGACAGAGTTTTGAGGAACTCAAATGCTGATGTCTTCCCAAGCAAGGAAGAGCCTTGTAATTAACTGAGAGCCCCAGGTATGTTTCTGTTCTCTGTAGACTGCAAGTCAGGATGAGGTATGGAGTAGACAAGTGGATAAGCTATCCTGAATCAGTGTCAGAGTGAAATGAGAGGCTTCCATGAAGACCTTCAGCCTCTCCCAGGAGAATTGCAGCTGTTTGGACTTTGGGAACCAGGCTGTGTATGAGGCCACCCAGGTGTCCACTGGGTGCTGGAGAACCTGTGCGCTCCTTTGGGATGTGCCCAGGCACAGTCCATAAGATCAAGCCAAGGACCTTTGTTTATCCTGCTGGGCTTTTTCCTGGTGTCTTCTAGGTCTTCTTCAGCTAAAGTAGAGCTGGATCCTTTGTTCCAGACTTAGCCCAGCTGGTTTTCCTGGGTTTTAGAGGTTGAGTGGATCATTTCCTGTGTCGTCCTCTCTGCTGCTGGTACCTCCAGTCATTGGCTTTGCTTCCATGGTTTCCATTTCAACAGCACGTGGCTGGGAAGTATTCCTGCAAAGCAGGTGATGCACAGGTTTTAAAAAGATAAGAGGGTTCCTCAAGTTAGCAGGTCCTTTTTATTAAACATTTATGTCCAGTGTGGGTAGATAATAGTAGACATACTCTGTCCACAATAATCATAAAACACTTAGTCCTTAGTGATCTGTGCTGCTCACAGATTGGGGAACCTGGAATGCCTAAATGTGTAGGGAGTATTTAAATCCTATATTGGTATTTGCAACCTTTCATCCACCAATGTTTTACCAGTGATGCTGGCGTGATTCATGCCATACCCACCTTTACCCCGCACTTTGCTAATCATCTGCTTAAAAGCAGTGCAGATGGCAGGGACAAGAAAAGGAAAGAGTAACTAGAAGCCTGGTCAGACCAGACATGATCATGTCAATACAAATGATTTAAAACAGTTCTTAAACATTTTTTAAAAATCAATATTAATCAGCTCTAAATAACAAGAGTAGGGGGAAGGTGTTGCATTTTGATTGAAGGTTTGGTTAAAGAATGATAAAAATACTGGGCATGGTGGTGCATGCCTGTAATCCCAGTACTTAGGAGGCTGGGGCAGGAGGATTCCTGCAAGTTCAAGTCCAGCCTGAGCTACACAGTGAGACCCTGTCTCCAAAAAAAGAAAAGATAAAAATGCCTAACGATTTAGAAAAATTAAAAAGTGATATTTCTGTCAAGTGTGGTGGCACACATCTGTAATCCCAGCACTTGGGAGGCAGAGGCAGGAGGATTACCACAAGTTTGAGGCCAGCCTGGGCTTCATAGTGAGTTCAAGGCCAGCCTGAATTACATAGCAAGACCTTGTCTCAAAAAATCAAAAACAAACAAAAAACCCTGATATTTCAGCAAATGGCAGAAACATTACAAAAACCAAAATTTTAGAAATTTAAATATTAGAAATACAGAATTAAGATGGCTGTGAATAAATGTGCCCATACTGAATGGATACATATGAAATGAATATTCATGAATGTATCATAAGAATAATACAAATTGAATATTCATCAAATTGGTCATTGGGTGCTTTCCTTTTTTTTTTTTTTGGTGGGGGATGCTGAGGACTGAACCCAGTACTTGGGCCACATGCTTTAAGCACACACTTTACCATAGACCCATTTACACTCCCAACCTCCATTCTTTCTTTGTGAATTGGCTTTTGGCAGCTTTGCCCCCTCCATCATCAGCCAGGCTCTGGCTGACCCCATTTCACACTAATGACCTAAGCCAAGAGGGAAGTGAAGGGCTCCCTAAGGCTGACTCTGTCCTGCTCAGCCTTGATGCTTCTTTGGACTGATACAGAAGGAGCTGAGTGTGAGAGTCTTCCTTAGAGAAGGCAACTCAGAAACATAAGGTAGCTCTTTATTGTGGGAAGGGAGACTGTGGCCCTATGGTTCTCCTGTGTCACTCACCTTGATTTGATGTAACATGCCAGCATTGATACCAAACACACTACAAGTGAACTCCCGGGAACAGATGTTGCGATGATTACTGTAAAAGAACAGAACTAAGCTGGAACCATGTGAGAATTCCAAGAGCACCTTCCTGGCTAAGAATCAGTTCATTCTTGGCAATCTCCATCCTTGCACATAGATTCAAATGCTTTCCCAACCACCTTGCAGTCATTAACATTTCTTCAGGGCCCTGTGATTTGATCTCCATTCTGGGCAAGACCACATTCTCTTTGCTGCCAACAAAGATTTGAACTTCCCCGATCATTTTATTCCACTCCTCTGGTCCTGGTCCTTCTTGGGCTAAGAGCCTAGCCGGTAAGAACAGGGATGGGAGCAGATCAGGAAGAACAGAGGCTCCAGATGAAAGCAGGGTGATGGGCAGGAGCAGGATGGAGAACAGCACTTCCACAGGAGTTCCTGCTTCTGTGTCCCAGGTACAGAAAACAGGCAGGAAAATGCTCCTCCTAGAGTCCCTCTTGTCAACCTCACTGCTTTAGGAACCTGAACATACAGTGCCATTTTCCTTGCAATTCATCTCTTTTTTAATATGCAACTTCATGGCAGAGGAAGAGTGCTAAGGAGAAAGAAGAGGTGTTGTAAGAGGCATCAACAGGTAAGAAGAGGGTAAGGTACCAAAAAGAATAATAAATATTGTGAAATAGGAAGAAATTCAAAATTATATAGAATGTGAGATATTTTATCAATACTTAAAATGTTTTATGCAAAAAAGGTATAGTATTAAGAAATAAGCTGAGAGATTAGCAAATGAAAATATATTCTTAATTTGGAGGGCGGTACCCGGGATCGAACTCAGGACCTTGCGCTTGCGAGACAGGCGTGGCACCACTGAGCTAAATCCCTGACTTGAAACATATATTCTTTTGGGCCAGATATTTAGCTCAGTGGTTTCACCGCCTGCTGCACAAGCGCAAGGACCCAAGTTCGATCCCTGGTACCAAAAAACCAAAACCAAAACAAAACAAAATATTCTTTTGATACACAGTGTATTTACCATGGTTATTCTCTAATAATTTTTGTTATGAAAAATTTTTTCATAGAATGGCTTTTTATATTTTCTTAATATCTACTTGTAATACATTAAAAAAATTTTAAAGAAGAGGGTAAGGTAAAGACTAAGGAAAGAGGAAACATATTTGAGTTCAAGGGAATGGCATGAAGTCTGGGGGCAGCTATGAGAGTTGGCTCAGCAGCCATGACTTCACCTAAGAATCATCAGAGTAGGAAGGGAAGGTCTTTGCATGTAAACAAGGAGACTTAGCTCAAGTTTGGTGGGAAAAGAAATGTTAAAAACACTTGCGCCCTTGGGATTTTGCCTTACTATTGTGAAATCTCCCTGCAAAAATCACCCACCTTCCCTACTTGCAGGTAACAAGGGTAGACATCTGGAGAAGTTGCAGTCTCCCTGAGGAGCACCAGTCACATGGCTCATGGGCCACCAGAGCTCCAGGAGCAAGCTCATCCCTCGTATGTTGGATAAATTTCCCAAGGCCTGACCTTTGAGTACATCTTTAGTGTAAAACAGCTGAATACAGGGAAGTGGGGAGACTCTCAGCCTCTGGGCTATGGGTGTAGGTTGGTCCAGGTTTTCTCAAGGGCAGTTTGCAACATACAACAAAAACTTTAGAGAAGCCTGGGCCGTTAGACTTTCTAATTCTACTAGAAAGTTACTCAGTCAAGTATTGTTTAAGATAATTTTCAAGGGGCGGGGCTTTAGCTCAGTGGTTGCGGCGCCTGCCTCGCAAGCGCAAGGTCCTGAGTTTGATCCCCAGTACCAAAAAAAAGAGATAATTTTCAAGATGTTAAAATGAAAAAAAAAAATTTCAAGATGTTAATCTAAATCTCTTCAATAAAAAAGTAATTAAAGGGCCAGGGATTTATCTCAGTGGTTCCGCCGCCTGCCTCGCAAGCACAAGGACCTGAGTTTGATTCCCCAGTACCAAAAAAAGAAAAAGAAAAGTAATTAAATAATGTGGTATACTCATACAATGGAATTTTATCCATCCACCAAAAACTATGAAATTGATACACACACATTAACGTGGGAAGATGTTTAAAGTATCTAGAGTGAAAAAAGCTATTTGAGATAAAGATGAATCCAAAATAACCTCCAATAAGCTACAACTATATACACAGATGTCTTTTTTTTTTTTTTTTTTTTGAGACGGTGTCACTAAATTGCCCAGGTTTGTCTTGAACTTTCCATTTTTCTCTCAGTTTCCTGACTAGCTGGAATTTCAGATGTATCTCCACCATGCCTGGACCAATAAAGTCTTCAGGGATAAGCAGTATATTAAAGTGTTAAATAATGGTGGGATTAGAGATAGTCTTAATTTTTGTTTCAAAACATACTTGGTTTTTTCCTATTTTTGTAATGATGCTATAATCAGAAGAAACAGTAAGATTATAGAAACAACTTCTAAGTTGTAAGTAAGCAGAGAAAAGTTGCTACAAATAACAAAGCATGAGAAATTAGTGAAAGATTTTTGAGTTCTCAGATTTGACATTAATCATCATTATGACTTAAAAAAAGGAAACATTTTTAGCAGAGCTATATCTTACTGAAAATGATGGCTCACATTAGCTAATAGCCTTGGCATTCATTTACTGTTTGTGGAGTGATTTATTGGAAAAGACAAGTTTGTATAAACCACACTTCTACTTTCACAATGCTTCTTCCTGTTTCTATTTAAATGAGAAAAACTGCAGACTAAAGCGCAAGAGACAGGAGGGCTGCTGTACCAAGGCTAAAGCAAAGCAATTGGAATTCAGTGATTCAGTCTCTGAAACTTTCAGTTAGTAAAGAAACTGAAACTGGAATCACCATGACAATGAATTAACAGATCTCCTGACAAGTTCTCTAACCTTCTGTTAGAAGGTGTGGATTTGAAGGAAGATTTGGTAAGATAAAGAAGGCCCAAAGGGAGTAGAGGAGAAAAAGTTGATTATTGTGCTTAAAGCCAGAAGGGTCATGGTTCTCCCTCAATTTAGCCCTCAGTGCAGATTAGACCTAGGTGGAGAAGGCAGCTGAGACTGCAGTGGCAGTATCTGGTGTGGATGGAGCGACGTCCTCTGTGCACCTACAGGGGATAGTCATTCCTTAGCAGTAAGTACCCTGGCAAACTTGGCCAGTACTGTTGTCACTGTGACCTGCATCAGAGGAGGCAGTTTTGAAGGGAGAGCTCCATCAATTCAATACGCCCTCTTACTGTACTAGGCACACAGTAAGTGTTGGGGAATTTAGAGGTGGAGCATGCCTTGAACGAATGAGGCCCTGGGCTCAATCCTCAGTTCTGAAAAAAATTGTTGGATTCAGATCACATACGCAATTGTTTGAGTTTTACCTTTTAAATTCCATAGATTGAAGTAAATTTAAAGTGACACTTGATTTTTTAAAATGAGAAATGTGCATTTCATAGCATTTTAGGACTATAACATAGAAAAAAATTTATATTAAATGAGCGGATGAGTGATACAAAGACAGAAGAATCTCCTGTCAAAGGCTGAACATATTGACTGCAACAAATTTATTTCAGAGATGGAAGAGTAGAAGCATACTATTTGGTAAAATAAATTCTTTATTCCTAGTGCACTAAATGAATAGGGCAGTGTAGGCGCTACTGCAGTTGGTGTGCTAGCCTGGCCTCCCCCCGCCCACCCCCTGCACAGTATTTGCATTCAGAGCCTTCCACTGAGCTACATCTTTAGCCATTTTATTTTCTCTTTGGAAACAGGATCTTGCTAACTTGCTAAATTGCCGGGACTGGGCTTGAATTTGCAATCCTGCCTCAGTTTCCCAGAGTGCTGGGATTACAGGCACGCACCACCATACCTGGCTTTTTTTTTTGGTACCAGGAATTGAACTCAGGACCTTGTGCTTTTGAGGCAGGCTCGGTGCCACTGAGCTAAATCCCTGGCCCATCCTGGCTATTTTTATATTTAACCAGTTGAAAGAAAGGAAACTTTACACATGAAAGATTTAAAGTATTTTTTAAATCTATATTTCCACAATTCCTTACACACAGATAAGGTGTAGGTGTTCAGGTAATGTTTGCTATTTTACATTTCAGAAGTTGATTGTGAATTTTTGATATTTTAATCCAGTGAAAGTCATGAACCAGAAAAATAGATTATAATTTAGTGTAGATTACAAATAATCAAATAGTTGCTTGAAGATCTACAGAAAATTTTTCATGTAGGACTTTCATCCTACAGATGCATTTGTACTTCTAGGTTTTCAATTAATCAGTTTGTAATATAACCAAAGAATGTAAGCAATCACATATCCAAAGAGGACACTAAAAAAATAGAGGCAGATCCACACAATAAAATACTTTATGGCTGTCAAAAAGAACAAGGTGGTTTTGTGTACTGGTATGGAAGGGTCTTCAAGATAGGTCATTAAGTGAAAACCAGGTAGAGAATGGTGAAAATAAAACAGCTGTCAGCATCACTTACTCTATGCTTGTTTTTACATTGCCTCTCTGGAACAATCCACAGAAATCTGTTTCTGTTCTACAAGGATGTTTTGTGTCAGTTATGAGACTTTTTACTATATTTTCTTTGTAACATTCGACTTTTAGTCCACATACATAATATCACTAATTTAAAAAATAAAAATGTAAAACTGGAAAGCTTAATACAGAATGTGATATAAGGAGAAATATTAGGGTAGTTACTTTATCTCTTGCTCTCCCCTTTAATCATGAACATGTATTTGTTTCCATTCTTTGTCATTAAATATCACAATTTTTCCATGAAAATGCTCTTTAAAGAGCCTTTCTAAAATTCTTTTTTGGTACCAGGGATCGAACTCGGGACCTTGTGACCTTTCTAAAATTCTTATAGTTGTATAGATGAATTAATCACTTAAAAAATCATTCTAGGGCTGGGGCTTTAGCTTAGTGGTTCCGGCGCCTGCCTCGCAAGCGCAAGGTCCCGAGTTTGATCCCTGGTGCCAAAAAAATCTCATTCTAACCTTCCGCTGCCTGCCTCGCAAGCGCAAGGTCCCAAGTTCAATCCCCAGTAGCAAAAAAAAAAAAAATCATTCTAACCAACTAACTGCTATTATATCCAAAGCCACTTTATTTCCCAGATGACACTTAATGCAGATATGTACAGTGGCACAAAATGTGACCCATCTCCAGCTTGAAAAGTTATGAATAGAAAACAAATATTTTTTGTCCTCATCAAATTACAGTTGGTTTTTTTCCCCCCTTTTAAAACTTTTCATACTAAAGTATTAGATTCTTTATCACTGCCTGCATTTCGATCTGCCTTTTTTTTCCCCCAGTGCCCAAGATCAAACCCAGGGCCTCCCACATTAAGCAACTGCTCTACCACTGAGCTATACCTCCATTTTTCTCTCTGCTTCTTGATTTCCATTCTTTCTCTTGTTCTATTCTTTGAGCCTACCTCTTCTCCTTTCATCTTTTTTCTTTCATTCTCACAAACACTTTCTATTTCCTCCTATATGCCTATATTTTCTCTCTTTGACCCTTGATGTGTGTCTTCTGTTTTTTGTTTGTTTCTGTTTTGTTTTTGGTTTTTTAAAAGCCTTTTGTATGGAGAAATCTGCATAGTCTCCCTGCAAAGTGTATGCTGCCCACCCTGGGAGAGGTTCATGCAGCTTTCAGCAGAAGGATGGCATCATCTTGGTGGCAGCAGGAGGCACAGTGGTTTCATAATGTGCCCTAGGCACATGTCTAGCCTGGTTGAGGAGCCCTGTGAGCAGCTGAACTAAGAGAACCTTTGTGTGAGCATCAACTGTCTAGTTTCAACATTAGTAGCCTGGCAGAAGCTACCAGTACTAAGATAGTCATGTCAAATGAAGAATTCCATCAGTACAATATTATATAACATATGTGATAGAGACACTTCTAAGAGGGAAAAGGGACACCATCAGTGATGTGCTGGAGGGGAGGGCCTGGCTCAGCACACAGGTCTGTGGTCACCCTCATCATAATAAACACAGCAGACAAATGAAAGTACTTACCAGTAGCATATCTGGAGCTATCTGGATGGGCACCTGTAGAGGAGAAAGGACAGCTCAGTCAGGGCTGGGCTCCTAAAAGCACTAGCTTCTCAGAAGTTAGAGACCCAGTGGACAACTTGGATCTCATCTCAGAGCCTAAGGCAACATACAGCTAACATAACCAAACTGGTCTTAGCAAAGAAAAAGCAGGGTAACTCACTGAGGTGTTAGGCTACCTTAGAGGACATGCCTTAGAGAAGGGTCAGAAAGATTGCCAGGGCTTCTACCATGACTCCAGACTGGAATGCTTCCATCTCCCTCACACAGTGGGAAAGTGCAGCCAGGATTCAGAGGTTCTTCCCTGGCACGGGTTCTGCCAAGCAGGTTAAAAAGGTTAGCCATGTCCCATGTGAGAGGGGCATTTCATTTCAAGATGCCCCTGCTGGACCACTGGTGGGACACAGAACATGCCAGGCTAAGGGGCTGCAGCAGAGAGAAATAAGCAGAGTAGCTTGGTCAGTCCTGAGTTTGGATTAAATTAAGCTGTTCAAACATCTTGCACCAGATCTGAACCCAAGTCTCAGAAGCAGCAAGTGGGGAACTGGCCTGTCTTCATGCAAAGTTTGGGCTAACCTGGTGTCTCCTTGGAAGTAGAGGGTGTGTGCTCCAAGGTCACTGCTGTTTTCTGAGATGGGGTTTGGGAGGGCTCGTGACTGCCTATGCCCGTGGTGCCTACAGAAGGTGGTTTAGATGACATCAGCCAGGGGCCTGGTACAGTGGCTGTCTCTGTGGCCAGTGTGGTGTCTGACTTGGGAGATAAAGCTGCTGGCTCTGTAGAAAATTCCAAGACAGGGAGAACATAAATATTTAGACTAGTGTCTTCTCAGTACAGCAGAGGGTAAACATAGGGCCCTACTCCAGTGAGCCCACCCCAACCAGCCCTCTCCCAGCAAACTGTCCTTGAGTGGGTTACACATTCATCCACCTGGGCCTTTGGACATGTGAAAACTTAAAGAATACAGTTATTTGTCATGGTGCACATAAAGAAAAGATCTCACAGATTTGAATGGATCTCGCTATTTCTTGGAGAAGGCACGTGAGATGCAGAAGACCTGGCTCCAAAACACAAGTGGAGCTGTGTTTACCGAAGGCAGCTAGATGCTAACTGCTTTTCATGTGATGGCACAACACTTTTGAAAGAAGAAGCCTATGATTCAGTCTGCCTAAACTCCCTGGGGTATAACTGAAGGAAGCATCCTTGTTTAGCTCTAATCTTGTAAGAGGAGGCTGCTGGGCATTTAGGTTCCTCCTTGCCTCTGACTGGCAGATAGCCAACCCAAACAGTAAGGTATGGCGTAACTCTGCACAATTCCCTTTCCATGAAAAAATGGGCCTTCCACCACAACAAAGATGGGAGCTGGGAAATACAGCCCTGGAAGAAAGCACCAGGAGAGACCTGACATGGCCTGTGTGGCCTATGTTCCCATGCTTTCTCAGCCACAGGTTTTGAGAAGTCCTTGTACCCTTCAATCTTTTGTCAGTACCTCACCCTGCCAGCAGATAGAATCCCTCAAGCATTCACATCCAAGTGTCATTGGCCGGGCCACCCTGTGTCAAGAGTTATGCTCACATCTGAGGTTTTGCCAGCACAGTTTTGTCTCAGCAATGGACAACCCACTAAGTGTTTGAGTCATAGGGGCTAGGACTTGGAAAAGCAAGCTACTGGATCATTCTCATCTTGTGAGTTATCCTGATGTGACTCAGATCGAAAAGAGTTTTAGAATTACTCCAGACTTATGCCAGTACCTCAACCTCTTCTGTTTGCAAGCAAGTCACTTGCCAGGAGAAAGACTGTCCTCATTTTGTTCATTTACTTTTTTGAGATGGTGTCTCAGTATGCCTGAGGCTGTTGTCAAACTCAGAAGCCTCTTTTCAGCCTCTCCATCCTCCCTCAAGCTATAGTCCTCAGCTCAGGCTACCTGAGAACCACCTGGGAAGCCTTCAGAGACCCTGATTCCCAGGTTGCCCCCCAGACCAACTGGAGTTCCTCTGTGATCTCACCAATGGCTGGGGGCCATTGCTCTGGGAGTGTGACTAAGTGGGGCAAAACGTGTGGAAACAGAGATGGGCGTACCTGAGGGGAAAGGAGAGAACAAATGGCGGAGAAAGCCTCAAACTAGGTGGTGTGACATTAAAAAAAAAAAAGTTAAATGTAAAATAAGGGTATCATAGGATGCAGGACATACAATCCCAAGATATTTAGCACCCAAGATTTCAAACTTTTTAACATCAAAAACGTGCTCAGGAAATTGGGGTAGGAGATTTCCTAAAACTCATCTGAAATACACATTAGTGGTTTCATGCAATGTTTCTATAGTAAAACATCATTGCTACTTTGCTGATGTTAGGACCTGGGAGAGACAACTCTCTATGGGTCACTCACATTGCTACACATTTTGCAAACCAAGGGCCTAACAACCCTCTGTCTGGACTATCTTCTCAAGGATGTGTAAATAGCAAGTGCCTTAGAAGACAGAAACCACCTCCTTCTGGAGAACACCAGACATGTCAACTATAAAACATTCATGTTTCCTAAGTCCAGGCATCCTCTCCAAGGATCCAGTCTGCTGAATGTGCAGGTATCCATGAAGGTCTGTTTATGTTGACTTTGTGGGCCTGGGAGACAAGGAATTGATGTGAATATGCTGATGCTCCCACTGCCTGTGTTCTGTGTATGAAAGTTCTTTGTCTTCTCTCTGCCTTTGTCAATACCCATGGCACTATGGCAGGCTAATAAGCAAGGAAGTCAAATCTCAGACCCTTCTCAGTTCTTGACAAGGATAAGTATTTACATTAAATATGCACATGACTCTGACATATTAATAGTGGATTCTGAACCAGTACTAATTATGCACATAGGAAATCAAAACAACTTTGGCTTTAAAAACTATTTAGCCCCTGTGAGTTCTTATCCTTGATTTTAATTTTAAAAATGTGTTCTAATACTTAAGTTTGTAGAGGAATACCAGCAGTGGCCCATGAATCAGTGGGGGCACCTGGAGATGGTAGTCCTTGAAGTTCCCAATATTCCTACCTTTTCCAGAAAGGGAGGGGCTCTCTAGCTCTGGGGTCACCCTTGCTGTCACTACTGTGGAGGGCTTTTGGTGAGTCAGGGAGGAATCTCCTAGAGAGAGGATAACCACACGGCATTTATGATACTAAAGGTGGAACCTGGGGTAGCTTCAGAACTCGATTAAATTAAAAACTCAATATGTAAATTTATAATGGTGTTATATGGCTTCCTAGGACAGGTTAGAAAGACAGAAAATAAACAATCAGTGTTTCCCAACCTAAAACACAAACAGACTGCAAATGACTTTTATAACATTTTCAAAAAGACTGCACAGGTTAAGCATCACATTTTAAAATTTTGGGCTGGAAATAATATGCTATCAGCTCAGTTTAATAGTCCAATTTTTTCATGGGAAAATAAATGATCACTCACTAGAATCCATTTGTTTAGCAGGGGGAAAAAAAGTACAAGAGATTAGGGGGGAAATGAAAGCAGTTCTTAGTCACAAAATGTTTGAGGGCCAAGATGAAGCCTAGAGATTTATCCAGACTATGGACTCTAAAATTCTGATTAAGATTCCTTCTTTTCTCCTCACTCCTAGCCCTGTTCAGTGCCTGCAGCTCTTCTCCATTCTGGATTCATTCACCCAAAGGATGTAGAGCTTTGAGGAAACATAACTTTCCCAACAGTGGAAAAGCCCTGATTTTCCACTTCTGGTTCCAAGTCAGTGCTTGTCACTGGGTTTTTCCCTTCAACTGCACTCAAGGCCATCACATGCTGCATTCCCAGCCCTATGATTCCTGAAACAAGTGGAAGGATTCCCTTCCCTTCCCTCTGACATCTGTGTGACTCTCATTCTAGAAGCAGGAGGGCAACACCACAAAATCCATAAGAAAGTCTGGCTCATCCAGAAGTTTCCAGCAGAAGGATATTGCTATAGGATGGCTGCTGCCCATCCCCTGTCCCGGAGAGAAGCTAGGCATCTTCACAAATGTTCTATGAGAATGTATCCAGCTGCAACTGGAGAAGCACTGAATAGTAATGAATGCTTGGTAAATCAGAATTCTTGGAAGACCACTGGTTTTCTCTAGGAAGGAAGAGGGGACCAGAACAGGGCTTAGTATTCCTGGAAATTGCATTAAGTAGCTTCCACCCACAAAGTGTCTGTCTGCTTTCAGGATGATTATCCAGTTGTAGATGGTTAAAAAAAAAATGGGTTCTTCAACCATCCCCATCTTTGCTCTTTTTTTTTTTTTGCTTAAGTTCTTTTATCGGTACATTTTAGGTGTACAATACGTTTACATTTATCATTGGGTGCTTGTACCTGTACATGATGTATCTTGGTTCTTTTTTTTCCCCATTCCCAGTCCTCCCTTCACCCCCTCCACCCTTCCCTATTTACAAAGACTTTGTTTCCATTTTTTCCTTTTCTCATAATTTTTCCTTTTCTTCTTTCTTTTCCCCTTCCCCTCCCACTTCCCCTACCCCTTGGACTTTTTCTTCCTATTTCAAATTATCAATTATTCATTTTAATCATTTTAATCCTTATTTACACTTTCAGTTTCTCATGCTAGAGAAACTATTCGGTATTTACACGTGTGTCCTATTTATTTCACTTAAGAGTATGGCTTCAATATGCATCCATTTAGCTATAAATGTCTCTAGTTTCTCATTCTTTATGGCTGAGTAGTACTCCATTTTATTGAAAAACCACATTTTCTTTATCCAGTTTCCAGCTGATGGGCACTTGGGCTGTTTCCAAACTTTAGCTATTACAAACTATGCTGCTATAGACATGGGTGCACATATATCACTGTGGTATGATTCTTTTAATTCTTTTGGGAAGATACCCAGCAGGGGAATAGCTGGGTCAAATGGGACCTCTAGTCCTAGTTTTTTGAGGTATCTCCATACTGATTTCCACAGTGGTTGCACCAGTCTGCACCCCCACCAACAACAGAGAAGGGTTCCTTTCTCCCCACACCCCCACCAGCATTTGTTATTAGTTGTTCATCTTTGCTCCTGAGTCTCACTATATACAAGTGACTAAGCCAAGGGAAATTCTGCTCCATCCTAGTTGCCTGGGTTGAGTACAAATGCACAGGAACAGTGGTTATTTCCTGCAGTCTACCTCCTCGTAACAAGGCCAAAAGGCTCCCGGGAACCAAGTGTGCTCATGAGCACATGCTCTTGTCTCCAGTGAGGTCTCGTTATCATCATTTCAAAACAGGCACTGATGGTAGTAAAAGTTAATATTTACCAGGGCCTACTTAATTCTACAACATAGTGTTGACATCAGATTCAACTTCTAGATGACCAACAAGAGTTCCAGAAGGTTAAGAACCTTGCTGAGGTTTGAATATGGGAAGTGGCAGAGCCAGAATTTGAACGTGGAGTTGTGTGACCACAAGGCCTGCATATTTCCACCTCCAGGGGTGTTGCTTGGTGGCCTGGTGGCATATTTAATTTCAGACCTCAACATTGATTTCTTGGTCACAAGATGGGATCATCCAGTTTCCACACTGCAGCTCTGCTCTGTTCAGCCTTGGCAGAAGGGTGGGGGAACTGGCTACTTACTGATGCACTTGAGATTGGGAGTTGTCCAGTGGGTGATGTTTGTGGTCTTGTTAAACACACACTCGGTCAAGCTGGATGTGCCAGCTTTCCGCTTGAAACCAGAGTTACAAACATATCGTTCCCTGGAGTGTAAATTGTAACTCTTGACCCGAATGTCTGCATGTTCAACAGATGTGGGGCTAGGACACGTGGCACCTGCAAAAGGGTGAGAGTGAGGAAAGATGAAAAGACTTGGGGTTGTCAAGAGGGGTTCTCTAGGGAACCAGTGGCCATCAATAAAGACCTTTATTGCTGGCACTCAGCGTGTCCCCAGAACACTTCAGGATGAATTTGAGGTTCCAACCATGAGAAAGGTGATCAGGAAAGACACCCACCATATGTATAGAAGCATTCCAGAAGCTTGCCTTAAATGTTAGCCATCCAGCTAGCTAGAGACTGGGGTGGCATCAACAAATCTCTTCTCCATCTCTCCATTTCTCATCCATCTCTATGTCCACACACTCTCTCTCCACACTGGATCAAGCCTTTGACCGCTCTTGGGGATGTCAGATTGTTAATGATGCTGATCTACACCAACAGCCTCCAGATCTGACTTCCTGCAACTCTTGCCCCCTGCAACTCTTTCCCCTATTGTGACACCAGCCTTTGACCCATTTCCACAAAGCAGCCAGTGTAGTCTTTAGAAATGCATATTCAATAACTTTTCTCTTCTCAGGCTGCCTGCCTACTGCTCTTAAAATAAAAATTCAAATCCTTAAGAAGTGTTTAAGGCTCTGCCAGACCTAGCCCCGCCGACCTCTTACTGTCTTCCCCCTCGCTATGCTGGCCTTTCATTCTCGCCTACCCTCTCCTCTCACACAACCCACCACCACTGTTCTTCCTAGCTGACAGCAACCTGCTCTCCTCAGGAAAGCCTTTCTTCACCTACCCAGTAAACCTGGCTCATAGTTCTGTGTTCTTTCCCTCTGTAGCCTCTTTCACAGTTTACATTAAAACAATGAGAGTATATAATTAACAGATGTCTTATCATCTGCCTTCTGAACTATGGAATGTAGATTTCATTCAACATCATATTCCTGAGACTATACAGGACCTGGCAACAGTAGGTGCATGTGAGAGTTGTTAAAAGAATGAATAAACTCTCTTCCTCAGTAACAGCCTTGACCCTGACCTTCTAAAGTAGTGAGTTCAATATGTTTTATTTCTACACATATGGTCAAATCATCTGATTACTGTCACATTTTCAGAAGAAAGTAGAACCAAAGTGGAGTGACCCAGATTGGTCTACTTTGGTAATAGCTGGAACTGGACTCAGACTCCAAAATTACAGCTAAAAATCCTGTCAGTGGTATACTAGCTCGGCTCTATGGAAGTGAAATTTTACCATTTCCTATCTAAGGGCCTTGGGCCGGGGTGTAGCTCAGTGATAGCACTTGTGTAGCTTGTACAAAACCCTGGGCTTCTTTCCCAACACTCCCCTCCCTGAAGAAAGTATAAAAAGTATCTAAGAGCCTGAGAAGGAGAGACTGACATATTGGCCACTTCCATTTGGAGGATGGTGGTAGTGTCATATTTGTTGTTGACTTTTTGTTTTTGTATTTTCTTCCCCCTTTCTCTCTCTTCCCCTCCAAATCTTTGGGTTTTAAGTTTTTTGCCTGAATCTCTTCCAAAACATTTTTGCTTACCACATAAGCCTCAAGTTCAGTTCTATCAACCAATTTTAATTTCAAATGCCTATTTTCTGAATTTCCTGACCTTTTTTGGGTCATTTTTTTTCAGTCATTGTTTTCCGTAATGTTTTCAGATTCAGGAGTTTTGTTAGCAAATTATTTCACATCTTCTAAGTATTGAAATCTTCCCCTCCAGTATTTTTCAAGTCTTAGTGTTTGTAGCACATTTTGGAATAGGGCATTTGTGACCAATCACTTGAGATTTAATGTGTCAGCAATAATTATCATCATGATCAGGTCAGCAATAATTATCATAAGTCACTGTCACCGTGAATACTGAGATTCACTGTTATCCTGTGATTTCTTTTATCTCCATCGAGGCTGGTTGCTATTGAATGGAACAAATCATCATGTACATAAATAGATTCGAAGTTCTCATGTGTTCCAATAGAGGGGCAATCTCCTTTAGCATCCAGGCCTATTCCTCTTAGCTTCCATTCACAGTATTACCCTCAGCTCAATGTCCTTCCTGATAATCACTTTTGTCCTGTATGAGTGTTTAGTTACAGTATAACAAATTTTACATACCTGAGAGGAAAGGTGTTTTAGTTACTTTCCTCATCACTGGAACACAATACCAGCTACCCACAACTTAAAGGAGAAGTTTATTGTGGCTCACAGTTTATAGAGGTTTCAGTCCGTAGTCAACAGATTCAATCCAGAAAGGGGATGGGGAAAAGCCCATGGAGGAAAGCTGCTCACATCATGGAAGCCAGAAAGCTCTAAAATTCTTTTTTCCAGGGATCCTGTGGCTTCCTACTCTATAACTTCTCTTTCCAAACATTGGGAAGGATCACTTATATTTTGATAAATATAGGTTGGGTATGTGTTATCGAATACTTGGGACCAAAAGTGTTTTGAATTATTTTTTCAGAGTATTTGCATGTAAATGATGGACAACCTTGGGGAGAAGACCCCAGAAGATCCCACCACAGAATTCACTGTTTCTCACGTATAGCTTATTCAGATAGCTTGAAGGTAATTTTATCCAATACTTTCAGTGCATCTGCACTTTGTAACTTGTCACATGAAGTCAAGTGTAGAATTTTCTACTTGTAGTGTCTTATTGGCAGTGCAAAGTTTCATATCTTGGAGCATTTTGGGTTGTGTACCCTGGATTAAGGATGCTGAATTGATACCCTTCCCACCTTTTACCTCAACTCTAGCTGTCACTTTCCTGGCTATTTTTAATACACTTAGCAAATGTCTTCTATCACCTGCTGTGAATTTTAGGAATCCTTGCTATTGGCTGGATGAACTCTGTCGTTAATATTTTTCTATCCAGAGGCTACCCAGCAAGGAAACTTGCTTTCAGTTTGAGATACCTGGGCCATTTTGGGAGTTCAGCTTCAAGGTCTCTGGTTAGTAGTACTATTACTCTTTTATTTCTTTATTCCCCAATGCCACAAATCTGTCCTAGTCACTTTCCCATTCCTGGGTCACAATACCTGACACCCACAACTTAAAGGACAAAAGGTTTATTTTGTCTCATATTTTCAGTCTACAGTCAGCTGGGCTAAAGGGAGGAAAGCATGCCAGAGGGTCATAGCAGAGGATAAGCTGCTCACATCATGGTGGCCAGAAAACAGAGAGTAAAAGGAGGAGCCAGGGAGGGACAGACACCCCCTTTCAGGTCATACCCCCAGCAATCCATCTCTTCCCTTCAGGCCTCATCTCTAATATCAGATTTAGTTGTAGTGCCTTTATGATTCAATCACTTTTTAAAAGCTCTTCTTATGAGTGCATGAGGCTTTGGGGGGTATATCTAAACATAAACCACAACAAAAAGATTCACTATAAATGTATACAACTGGAACCACTGTTTTACCCTGGAAAAAGAGTGAGTATTCCTAATCTGGAGATTTTCCTCCCAAGTCTGTCTATGCTACAGACATAGACAGGGTGGGGTGAAGTTATTGTCATCTCTCATTTTCTCTTCTTCCTCTTCCTCCACCATCTCATCCTCTTCCACTTTTCCTCACCACCCCCTCCTTCATACTGGAGATTGAACTCAGGACCTTCACACTGAGCCACATCCTTAGCCCTATTCATTTTTTTTTAAGTCTGAGAGTCTCACTAAGTTGTCCAGACTGGGCTTGAACTTGTGATTGTTCTGCTTCAGCTGCCCAGAGTGCTGAGATTACAAGCGGGCAGTACAACATTCGTCCTCCCCTTTTCTTCTTCATAATTTATATAGATCAGCTGTTATCAATGAGTAAAATAAATTAAATCCAGTTTTCTCACTGCTGGAGGAAGAAGTTTCAATTCTGGAAACTGGGAGGGGACAACTAAAATGTTCCCTATGGTGCTTGAATAAAGTAGAGGTTGGAGGTATCCTATGTGATTACAGTACATGTGTGTGCATTTGTGTACACATTTCTTATGTGAGAGTGACAGTGTGCATATGTACTTGTATGCCTGCCTGTGCGCAAGTGTGTGGGCATGTGTATATGTATGTGTACATGCGTGTGACCACTCTTTCCTCTATTAGTGCCTAGAGGTGATGACATATTAGCAGTGGGGAGCTAATATCAGATCTTGATCACCACTAAAAAGACTCAGGGCTCCCTGGGAAAAAAGGACAGAATCCAGGACTAGGATAGAGAAAGCACAAGATAAGCCTGGAATATCTTGTTCAAGAAAGTAAGGAAGTACTCAAGAATGTCACGTTAAAAAGATGTAAGAGCAGGTTGAATAGGCTTTGTTGGCCAAAATCTGGGACAATTTAGAGATTAAACAAAGAAAGACAGAAACTAATGGAACAAAATAAAATAAGATTCAAGTCTACACTAGCATAAATAAGTAAATGAGAGAGAAGGAAAAAGTCCTCCTTAGAGAAGAATGCAGTCTACTGCAGCCCTCCTTACAGTAAATGCAGTTCTTTACACAGAATTATGGGACAAGAAAGAAAACATGAATGTTTAAAGTTTTCTGAAAGCAGGATCTTTATACTTTTTGGTGGATTTGTACTGTACACGTAGCTGAGCCAAACACACCTTCCCTTACTTCCCATCTCTACTGAGCCCAATCTACCCAGCTGTAAAGAATAAGAAGGGAGTAGAGGGCCAGTCCTTCCTCACACCTAAGGGTGGTGAAATTGCAGCTCTGAGATCTGGCAGCCACCTGGAGGTGCCTTCCACAGCAGGCTGGACAGCTCCTCTAGTGTGTGGGGTCTTTGCTTTTCACTTCTTTCATTCTTTGGCCTTTTTTTTTGGTACCGAGGATGGAACTCCAGTCCTTGCCTTGCGCAGCAGTCAGCAAAACCACTGAGCTAAATCCCCGGTCCGTTTGGTCATTTTTTTAACAGCATGATGAGGAGGCCCAGTAGGACACCCCATCATGAAGGCAGGAGTCTTGAAGGTCAAAGACCCACATGAGTCTCAACTCAGCTCCATGGGTTCAGGTGATTCTTGCTTCTCCCATGTCACATCCTTCTTCCCATTCAAACTGCCACAGACTTGAAAC